TCCAAGCAGCTCACCCAGGGTAGATACCTAGTGATACCTAGTGATACCCAGTGATACCCAAGCCCTAGGACTTCCCAATCCTTATACCCTCCCCCCAACGCCGGCGCGCCTTCGGCGCCTTGCTTTCGACCTCTCCGCTCTGCAACTGTGGCATCTCAGCCGCGCTCTTGGGGTCTTCAAACCTGGGCCCCACGTGTAAACTCGAAGGAGTTGGGGTTGTCCAAACCTGGAAATATCATGGAAATACCATGGAAATACCATGGAAATACCCCCAAAATCCAAAGTTTCTAAGGAAAACCTCTGGAAATATCATGTTCATAGACAAACTCAAACAGCTTTGTCTGAAAGTGGGGTTGCCCCAATGGCATACGAAAAAATAACCATTGTTCCTCTTGAAATCTCCAGAACTGGCATGTAAACATCTCATGTTCAGACAAACCCAGGCCCAGATCCACTATCCATTGGTTAAATAACCATTTGCTTGATGGTTAAGTTAAATCCCATCTATATAAATCCCATGTTATTTGTGATTAAATCTGATTGAAGTCCCATTTGAATCCCATTTGGGATGGGATTCAACTCCATTCAAATCGGATGGGATTCAACTCCAAATCACATGTTTCATGCTGAAAATTCCGAATGTTCAGCCCATCTTACCATGTTTTTCCTTTTTATGGACTCAGCTGAATCATGCCAACACCATCTTTACCAACCAACCAACCAACACCAACGCCATGATGTGCCCAGCTACACACCCAGCTCCACGGCTTTCGTTGGACTCACTTCTTGCAACTCGTCGAAGTTGCTCGTCTCGGTCCCTGATGGAGCCCCTAACTAGGGGTCCCCGGGGGTCCAAGGAGTTTTATGTAATGAATGTCAATGGAAAATGATGATAAACATTGATTTACCCTCTGGTGAACTAACATAGCAATGGAAAATCACCATTTTTAATGGGAAAATCCACTATAAATGGCCATTTTCAATTGCTATGTTAGTTCACCAGAGGGTAAACAAAAAGTTGGGGGTTTAATGGAGCTCATAACCAAAACGGAATTGAATAGGGTGTTATTGTGCGTTAACTGTATTTGGAGGATCACCCCGCTTAATAAGTATTTGATGATTTGTCCACATGGCATTCTGGGTAGGTCCCCATCTTTGGTAGGATTCTACCCCAAGAAAAAAGGGCATAACTTCCATCTTAGAGTACTAACTTCTCAGACTATTCTCATTCTATCATCCATGTCTTTTAATCGTTTTCCAAGGATATCCCACTACAAACCCCCAAGGAAACTCGCCAAAATCCTGGCCCAAGATGTCCGGGCGCCGCCGCCTCCGGAGCCTCCGGGCTCGTCGTTGTTGGGAGCGTCCGCATCCTGAAAACAGAGCTGGGGAGCGTGGGGAAATGCATGGACCAATCGAACGCAGGGATCTGCATTTATAGCCCTTAACACTTGTAACGGGCTGGTACAACCTCATTTAAGCTCATTTCAGTGATATTTGTTCACCTCAGTTGCGGGAGTTATATCCCAGTTATAACTGTTCAAGGCCATGACTGTACCCCTCTGGTAATCGAACATTGCTGGGCTAAAACATCGAGCGCATTCCAAAAAATCGTGAACGATGATTTTTCCCAGCTACAAGTAGACACCTCCATGGCTAGGCCATGGCTTTTCGGCCACCAGAATTTTCCATCTTTAAAAATACCGGATGGATCACCTATAGAAACATTGGGGCTCCACCCATCATGGAACGGGGGGAAGAAAAACTGTTCAGAATCGTCGGAATCTTGGAGGAGACCCGGGATCCGGTCATCTGTTACACGTTGCAAACGACGAAAATGGACGAAATCGCTGATTTAGCCATTCAAAACATGGTGATTTTCTATACGTTAGTTTACCAGAGGCTAATGAAAATTGAATATTCAATGAGAACGATCACCAACAAGATTAGGTCTAGCCCTATTACATCTATTATTTCACGGCACCTTTTTGGATGGAATTGAAGCCGCTTCACCTCCAAAACAAAACGGGGGACGGGCTAAAACCCATCGATCAACCCCCCCCCGGTGAACATCAAAATAGTTGGTAAATGGATGTTCATCCCACAAGCAAAAATTGTGTTTAGAGGTGTTCAACCATAGCCAAACGACTTTCGCACCTATTTCATGAGCAAACCAAAATCCCCATGTTTGCTGGAGAAATTCCGAAAATATTTCTTGGTGCACAAAAAAACTGTGTCTTGGAATTGTTGCAAAGTTGAGTGGTACTTTGGATCACAATCATCAACCCAAAAAAATACTTGTTCGGTGCAATCTCGGTGATCTACAGGGAAATCCACCAATCAGATGGCCCCATGTTCAAATGGTGAAAGCTCCTTGTTTTTTAACACCAGCCAAAAAAAACTAGAGGAAAACTCTTATGCATTCACATCGCCTTCTTTTAGATGCCCTGACTCCTTTTTTTATGCTTAGCAAATTCTTTCCATGCAGAGCCAAGTTGGTGAAGTTGCGCGTCCATCCAAGATGGACCCAATCTATGGCAAACCCCGCAAAAAAAAACTAGTTTACCTCTGTTTTGATCAAGCATGACACCCAACATATGGTATGGGACAAAATTGGGTACCCCAAGAATTAGATGGTTCAGTTAATACCAACAATAGACTAAAATCGGTTGTCTCCTGGGATCCTAAATTTCGACCCAGTCTATATTGATCTCTCAAAAGTGGGATAGGCTATTCTAAAGTGATTGAGATCAAATAATCTTAAGTTACTATTCCCCCAATCTATTGACTTTCACAAAATGTGATAAAAGTATGTCAACTTTGGATTGTCCTAATATGGTTCTCTCAAAAAAATGAGGGGAACACTATACTAAAAACATTGAAGTTAGGATTTTCAAAAAAGAAATGTTCTCTTACTTTTTCTCGGTGGACACACACTTAGAACATCACCATGTGCACATGGTGATGTTCTATGTGTCCACCTACAGTAGTGTTTATAGGTGGTAAACATCCCATTATTATATAGGGTTTACAGTAGTGTTTATAGGTGGTAAACATCCCATTATTTATAGGGTTTACAGTAGTGTTTATAGGTGGTAAACTGTTTATAGGGTGTTTCAACTAGTTTCAACCATCCCAAATTGGTGTGCAGGATTTCTTCCCAGGCCTCAGCTGTCGTTCCCTCGGTCGTTTCCGGCACACCTCAGCTGAGACGAGTGAGACGAGTAGCGAGGGCTGCGCTCGGATTTAACGAGCAACGCGCACGGGAAAATCACCGTGCTTAATAGGTAAATCATCATGAATAATAGGTCAACATATGTTAATGAGCCATTTTCCATTGCAAACTGTTAAATAATCAGAGGGTAAGCTATATAGACCCAACTTAGTCGTGGAAAATCACCATTTTCTCTAGGTAAATCATTGAACTAAATGGCCCATTTTCCACATCTATGTCAGCTATTGTCAGCTTACCCCAGGGTATATGCAAAACTTGAAATCCAGCTGATGTGATATTATGTTCAATGTTGAATGGGAAAATTGATGATAAACGGTCGGATTTTGGAGTAGCTTATATACTTTCAAAGAAACCCATATGTATCCTACAGCATCCTTCCAAAGTTACCGTTTTGTGCAAAGGAAAATGGAAAAAGGACAATGATCCAATTGTTCCAGAGCTTGCAAAAATGTGAGCCATTCAAAAAGACCCTTATCCCAAACCCCCCTTATACTGGTTGGTTAATAGGATCCCTAGTTGGTTTTAGTACATAATCCCCAGCAAACTAGATAGTATGTGGATGTATTTCGTATGACCTTCATGTCATAACCAATCAACAATGGCATTGTTACTGGCTGATGCTATCTTCTCGCGGGTGAGGTGTTTGGCAATAACACTAAATTGAGTATCATCACTTTCCCTATTCAGACGGATACAATTCGATATTACCACATCAAATGGCTTTGACTAGAAATTGTCTATGCCCCAAAAAAAAAATGGCACAATGCCAAAAAAAAAGAAAGTAAGGCCTACCCCACCCCTTAAACAAGCCTACCCTCTAGTAAACTAACATAACTATGGAAAATCACCATTTTTAATGGGAAAATCCACTATAAATGGCCATTTTCAATAGCTATGTTAAATTACCAGAGGGTAAATCCCATGGTTAATCATCAATTATCCTCATCAAAATGGCCAGAAAAAACCTCGCGGCGAGGAGCTGGGAAGCTCTGGCACCTCGTGCTCGTGTTTTGGCGCTGGCACTTCACCTGGAAATCCCATCGTACAAGGTGAGGCCCCCACACAATAGTTGGCGTTCAGTTGGCGCTTAAATAACTTAGGGTGAACTGTGGTGAATCACAAACATATAACTATATATAGGTACCAGACTATTAATAGATGGTAATAGGTTTAGAAACCAAATCATAACTTGCTTGGAGGATCATCTCATTTAGTAAATGGTAAGTGTTTGTGGTGTTGGCTCACCCACGTATAAATGGGATAAAACTAGGAATAATGATGATATATGTCATATGTATTTTCCATCTTGGGTGGTACGGAACAAAAGGTGAGTGGGATATATCCCAATATTTCATGGTATTTTCTAGGCTTTGTCAGAAAATGGGGTGCTTACCCCCAAAAAAAAACAATTTTACAAGGAAAGATAATGATGAACTAGTGACTAGGTGGATGGAATGGGGTCGCCCTGCCTGGCTGGACATGGTAAAAAAACAAGTTTCAAGGAGTCTATTATATTAGTCCCCAAAAAGATAGGGAAGTACAGTCCGAATCTTAAGAAAATCATAAACTACCTGTCCTATCTTGGGGGTGACTATGCATCATGTACAGTAATCACAAATATGTGCTACTAAATAATTGGATCATAATTGGGATGTACATCCTGGGGTACCCCTCAGGCCCTCAGCCCATCCGGCCCCATCCTCCCCAGATGTCAAATCTTCCACCAAAAATCGACCATTTACGAATATCAAACCCCCAAAATCCATCAAAATCCTCCACCCGCTGTGCCTTCTTCCCCGAAGTGCGGTGTGGACGGGTCCTCCCAGCCGTCACACTTCACGCCGCAGAAGCGCACGAACCAACTCCGGAAGGCCGCGCGGTGCGCGGCAACGTCCACTGCGAAGTCCTCGAAGAGCTGGGGATCCTCGGCTCGGTCGGCTCGGTCACGGGACGATGCGGGATTCTGAGACGATCTGTGGGAGATGTCACTTTTTTGTGCAGAGAAGCGAACGAAAAGTGACAATGCACAAAAATGTTTGAAGAGTTGTAATAGTTGCAACCCTTTGGGAGCAGTATGGGTTGGAATTGTGTACTGAGTGTACTGTGTACCTCAAAAATTGCATGCTTTCCTACTGACACTGATGAAAATGTCTTCTCTTTCTGGGGTTTCAGTTTTGACCAGCGATAAACCGTCCCAGGTTCCAACGTTTTCTCATGACTTCCATTCTCCACGGTGTAGGTTGCCACAATCCTCAAGCAGGGATCCTAGCCATGGCCCCAGTATGATCTTTTGAATGAGGATTGACATCATATATTTGATGATTTTTTATGTTGTAACTTATAAATCATCCTTGGGAATGATGTATGCAGGAAAACATGCGTAATTGATTTGGATCACAATCTGTTTAAATCATGAGAGTGATGTCGTTGTACAATAAACTGATTCCCTTGGCCCTTCGCTCCGTGACCACCAGCAGCATCTGGGGGTACAGGTATAGCGTAGCCATGCGTAGCCATTAAAAGTTAGACCTAGTTCAGAACCCAATTTAAGTATATTTAAGTGATATATTTATATATATATATAACCTGAGTTACGGGAGTCATAATTCAACTCTGCTAAGGGCCACATTTCCGCCAGCCTTCCCAGGCCCATTTCCGCCACGCAGCTGCGACACGGTGTCGTAGCTTTCCTGGATACACGGCAGGTACTGCTGGAGATCCAGCGATACGTCCACAGAGGCCAACCAGTCGGAGAAAGACAGGTGCTTCAAATCGATCACCGTGTCCTCGGTGACGAAGGACCGGACCGAAACGCTGGATGTGTGGTTTCACCGGGAATGATAAGAACAAACAAACTGGTATTGCTATGATTGCTGTCATTGGTGTTGTTTTTTCGGTGTTCTTAAATTTTGCCTACGTGTGCTTGATTATTATGTTTAATTTGTCGTTACTGTACCATCACGTTCTCACTAAAATACATGGTTTTCATCATCTTCAAGTCATCATGAGTTCAATTTTTTGTGATTTCACATATGTATGTACGTATTACATTTTGAAAAACTTCAAGTTATCATGGTTATCATTATCGCGGTTAAATTCATAATGGGTATTTATATACTTATACTTATTATTGTTACTATCCGCCGACCCCGGCCGACAGCAACGGGGAGCGCGCCAGGGAACAAGAGTTGTTCCGTCTCAACCACAAACACTTGAAATACCAGAGAGCGTGATGAAGAGAGCGATGGAATGAATAAGAGGGAGAGAGCAAAGGAGGGAGAGGCGACAGAGGAGCAGCAGGAGCAGCATCGCCATCAGGAGCAGGAAGTGAGATCTGGAGCTCGAAACCAAAACTCTCACGCTAGAGATCTTGCGTGCAAGCAGCAGCGGCTCCAAGCGCGTGAGCTCCAGCACTCGTTGTATCAGTTCTTTGGATTCTGCGCACGAATCGTGGAAGCGAATGCATAATCCGTACACCGCTGGGTGCGGCGCATGGAGGCCCATTCCCCAGTAGGCATGTATAAGGATACTCTGCTCATCTGTGGCGGGAAGAATCTCAGCGGACCATCTGTAGCTTCGGCATTGCTTGGAAATGAACTCGAAGCCGGCGATGCTGTGTTCCTCGGCTTTGTGAAGCTGGTGCCGGATTGTCTGATGGTCGCCCTTGATGAGCATCGCCAGGGTCACAGGCAGTTGCTCCCAGCCTGGTGTGCTTGTGTGGAACGGAAGTGCCAGAATGCCACATTGCATCGTGATGCACGGCAGCAGGTGGACTGCACATCTGTTCCGCAAGTTGGCTGGATCATCTGGCATTTGAGGTTCCTGTGGCGGATACCGGAGCTCTAGCTACACAGCGACCTTCAAAACATACCGCCCACAATGATCTGCACATGGGCTGTCAATCGGTACGATATGATGCCCCTAGAGATGAAACCGGGGGTTTGGACTATCCACATATTCTGTCTCAATATCTGGGCGCAGACTATACTCACAAGAACAATCTAGATGTTTTGAAGCAACATCGGGGTTCTAACGGAACGACAAATTCGGGAGGTTGCCAAAGCAACTTGAAGGCTTGACAAGATGCGGATGGTAAATAGTGAAATATCTGGCAGTATCTCGAGTGGGGCCATGTCGAAAGGGAAACTGACAGTACACCGGACGAATCAATATTCCACCAATCAACGACCTAGGTCAGTCCAGAAATGTTGTGCGTTTCAACCGGACCACGCTCGAAGGTTTGGTCTCAAGACGTGGGATATCCCAAGCAGTAGGGACTGACTCTTGACATGAAAGCGAGTTCGGCACCAAAGGGTTCCCTGACTGGAGTTAGATTATCAGGAGTAAAGTGTAAGGGTCAACATCCGCCCTCCCCAAACTGCGGGGTCCGCTGCTATAGGTCAAAACCCGATGGGTGTGATCGGCTTTCACCTCGCAATCGTATTAATCACAAATCACCTGCTATGTGAAACAATATGGTCTTGTCGTTGGTATCCTAATCGCCTTTACCAATATAAAATCATTGTTGATATGTTCTTTCGGTGGTTTCCATATATGCTACTCAACTGACACAATTCTAATTTCTATGGTATCTTCCCATCTCCCGAAAAGGCTCAAAATGTTTTATGTCAACATGCGTATTTTTTGTTATATCCCAGTATGTCCGAAATAATCCATGAAATGGCGGTGTGATGAGAGTCAAAAAAAACGCATTCCGTTCCCCATTCATATCCCATTAATCCATATCAATCCACCATTCATTGGGTCAAACCCAGTCCATCCAGGGGACGCGCCTCCTGCACTGCCGCGGCGCTGGGCGGCAACGCTCCCGTCGCTGACGCCGGCGGCAAATTGCTGTGGACCTCTCGGCAGGTCGTTGGAGGATCCTGGAAGCTTAGATATGTGACAAATGAAATAGGCCATGTATCTGTGAGAGAAAAACGAAATGGGGTGTGAGTGTCTCTACTATATATATATATATATATCATATTATATATATATGTATGTACAATATACTAACCAGACATGTAGGCATCATCTACGAACTTCCAGGATCATCTAAGTACTGCTCGTTTTTTGTGGAGTGACTGGGGAACCGCACGATGGATAGGGGGTCAAAAATGGTCATTTCATCTGCTCTTCGGGTTCCTGGATTTTTTTTTGGGACCCATACCCATACTCGTAGAAAATTCTGTACAAGAGAAGAGTTCTTCACCCTCTGCCATCTGTGTCTTTCTCAAAGTTCTTAACCCCAGCACCAAAATGATTTACGAACTCAGCTACAAAACCTCACCTTCAAAAGAAAGAAAACACCTGCGTTGAAGCCCCAAGTCCCTCAATTCCCAAGGCCCTGCGCCTGCACCCAGCGTTGTTTCAAGCGCTGCCTCGCAGGGCACGTCAGCCCCAGGGCCTCGAAGCACTTCTCGTTGTCCTGTTCCCAGGCCTCCTGAAGCTGCTCCACCGTGTCGTAACGCTGGAGGGCCTGGCACCGCCGATGACATCGATGACCTCATCAAGTCGATCATCCCTTAAGACAACGCCGGAACTAGCATGCTGCAATACGCTCCACTAGAAATATATATATATATTGTATATATATATATATATACGTATATACTATATATATATATACGTATATACTATATATATATATATATACTATATATATATTTATATACACAATATATGTTTTTTTCCATGATTCCCTCCTTTTTCCAACAAATCTCAAGCCATCCAACCCCCCCCCCAGTCGACCTGCGGCAGGTGCTCCAGACAGCCACCCGAGGGGTCCAGCTCCGTCAGCCATCGCTTGAAGTCCAGGCTCCGGAGATACTCCTGGTGCTCCGCCAGGAGCGCTGAATTGGTGGTTTTCCCACGAAAAATGGTGGTTTCATGGGATGGATACCACTATAAATGGTGATTTGATGGTGATTTACCCCCTGGTAAACATACAAAAAACTATTGAAAATTGCCATAGAAATAGTTGATTTACCCCTTGAAAATGGTGATTTTCCCATCAGTTGTGTGACAGTTTACCAGAGGGTATGGTACAATGTGGGGCCCCCCAGTGATGTTGGATGGTTTATAAACCCCACACTATAGTTATTTGCGTATCATAAACCATAGTTATTGGAGTTATTTGCACCAACTTAGCTATCGTTCGGGGGCCCCACATTGTATGGTTTGTGGTAGATATAACATGATATAACTATACTTAATTGATGATTTTACCAACCAAAATGGGAAAACTGTTCATGGGATTTATGCCGAAAATTATGATAGCTATGTTGGTGACCATAACTAGGCGTATTCTATGGTTTGTGGTAGATCTAACCATGCTTTTTATGGATATTAATGGAGGTGATAAACTAACAAAAATAATGCCCCTTAATGGCTTAACTATAGTAGATATAACGAACTAGTATTCATGGGGTGAATCTAGACCAACAAACATAACTGATGGGGGCACCATCATGTACCGGGTTTCACCAGGTTTCACCGAGTTTAGAAGGGATGAACGAGAAATGGATATCTTGAGATCTGCAAACATCTTCTTATTCGGGCGCCTAGACCGAATGGAAAAGAGGATGGTGTTTTGCTGCCTTTCAAGCCAGATATCTCCTTTTTCAAAGGTCACAAATGGTGTGGTTTGCGCGATAAAATCTGTACCCAGCTGCGGCATACTCCAGCTGCTGTGTGACCCCTGGCAACTCTCATCTTTGTCTTCCAAAATCATCTTTCATAGAGATGTCTTAGTGAGGCGAATTGGAATTGAAATCGTTCATTCGAAATGGGTGTGTCTCAAGAGTGACCCATTGGTGATACTTCATAGGGAAATAGGCTGAAATCTGATCAAGCAGTTAGCCGATTTTTTTTGAAGGAACCCGAATATCCAAGGCATGGCTCATTATCTCCCTTAATAATCCTGCGCCCCTCAATTGAAACAGATCCTGCCGTAACTTGCAAAATGGAAGACTACTTCCCCCTATACAACTTGTAAATTGCTAGAAATTCAGGGTCCATGAGTTCATGTTACCCTCTGGTAAACTGTCACATAACTGATGGGAAAATCACCATGTTCAATGGGTAAATCCACTATAAATATCTATGTCTATGGTCATTTTCAATAGTAAACTGTTAGTTTACCAGAGGGTAAATCACCATCAAATCACCATTTATTTCGTGGTATCCATCCCATGAAACCACCATTTTCAGTTGGTAAATCCATGTAAATCCACTATAAACTGTTAGTTTACCAGGCCGGCTATGTTTTCTGAAGAAATTCTTGATTCCCCCGACCGACCTGAATTTTGTCCATCATAATTCCGGTGGCATCGCAGGATCCCCCTTTTCGCGATCAAGGTAAACGATCCGGGAGCTATGCCCAAATGGGATATAACTAGTTGGTTAGCTATATTCCCGAAAACATCAAATATATATATATATGGGTAAATTATAATATTTCACTAACCTGAATTAAGGCCATTTGGGAATGATTTCCCTTATTAACCAGGATTCCAGTGAGGTCGCAGTGAGGTCGTTATAATTTACCCATATATATATATCCCATAAAATCAACATGTTTCATGGTGAAATCTGGATAAATGATCATCATTCACGAACTTGAAAAGTTCCGCTTTTTCTTGGGGGAAAATCTCTGAATCCCTAACCACCCAAAATGGTTCGTGAGATGTATCTCATTCTATTCCATCATTCTATCCCATCATTCTATCCCATTTTCCCAGCATTTTTCTTGCCTAAATCACCATATTTCATGGTTCAGAAAGCCCATAGAAAGCCCATACACCATGGAAATCACCGCGAGGCACGGCTCGGCTCGGCTCCCATCCCCTCCTGCGCCACCCGGGGCGACCTGCCGTGCGGCACGGGCTCGGGCTCGGCCTCCGGAAGGCGAAGGGACGACGTTGGGCACACCTTGGCGGCGGGCTTGGTGGGTTGAAAGAAATGGTTCCTAAATTGGGGATGGGTCAAAACCCTGGTACCTAGTGAACCCCAAAATAGCTGGTAAATGGATGTTCATCCAACTAAAATGTATCTATAGGTATTGACCCATACCCAATTCATAAAAATCGACCATAGTTCTGGAGTACCATTTCCAGATCTGAATGGATGTTTTTTCTAGGAATTGGAAGAAAAATGTTTTTTACGAGATCGTTTTTCAAAGCTTCATCCTGTAGTCCGTTTTCCCACTGAAGTCCCCATGTTTCATCATTGGAAATCATGGTGTTATCTCTATGACCAACACCGAACCCTCGAGGTAGACTAACATTGCCATGCTATAGATGGCCCATGGCTAGTTCGATATACCTCTTAAAGCTGGTGATGTTTCATGGCTACCCTCTGGTAAACTAACATAGCTATTGAAAATGGCCATTTATAGTGAGTTTTCCCATGAAAAATGGTGATTTTCCATAGCTATGTTAGTTTACCAGAGGGTATGTTAAATCACCAGGGGCTAAAATCACCACTAAATCACCAGGCGATAAATCAGCTCCCCCCGCCTGGCTTGGTAGCGGCCGCACCGATGCCGTCTCCGTGCGGAAACGTCTGGTGGGACTCAGCCCCATCTCCCGCGCGCAGCGGACGATCCTGGCGCGATGTTTAAACACCACAGAGGGGTTATCCTCACATAATATACCTATATTGACCTATCACTAATCATTATTAACCATCATGGGTGGTATAAACAATCCCCATTTTTGGATTTGTTTGGGGTATACCCTCTGGTTATTTAACATAGCCATCGAAGCCATGGCCCATAGAAATAGATGGTTTACCTATTAAAAATGGGTCATTTTCCATGGCGAACTGTTAAATAACCAGATGGTATATGATATATGTGGGTATGGATCAAAATCTAAGCTTCAGAAGGGACCACAGCTTTTAGTATATGTTTAAAAGTTGAAGATTAACCATCTAATTATTGGGGTACCGAATTTTGAACCATACCCATGTATCAAGTGGGAAACCCAATGCCATAAACAACTACCATTTGAAATGTGGGCATGGTAAAACAGCACCCATGCAAATGGTGATGACTGCGGGATGGTCTATGAAATTGGGTGAATCCCACATTAGCCCATTATAGCTTATAGTTACATACTCTTGTTAGAATGAATATTTATATATATATCATATCACATCACATCACATCATATCATATCATATATATATATTATAATTATATATAATCCATTTTCTCCAATCAGGCATCACCATGCATAACCTTTTTTGGAAATCCCCATGATTTTGAATTTCCAGGGTCCTCTGCTCCAACTCAGCTGCAGGACTGCCTTGGATGCCAGACGGAGGTTTCCATAGTCATGGGGGTACCCCAATAGCTGGATGGGTTATTTCATGGAAAATCCAATTAAAACGGATGATAACTAGGGGTACCCCCATGACTTAGGAAACCTACTAATTTAGTAAGCTTCACATAAGGTTCTGTGTAAATACATCAGTATCAATATAAGGAATTTGATAAAAGGAATGTTTTTGGAAAACATCTCTGGAAAAACTACAAGAGATACCAATCAAAGTATGAACGAATTGCACATCTCCCCTGATTCTTGTTTCGCTCGTTAAGAGTCTCTAGGGTTGGATGCCAATCATCGTGACGAACCAAAAGGACTTCTGGCTTAGTCACCACATCCTGCAAGGTGGTGCCCCATAGTTAGCTAAGTTGGTTTATAACTCCCATAACTATGGTTTATGGCAGATATAACTATAGTTAATGGGGTTTATAAACCAACTTATAACTGGGGGGCACCATCCTGTGGTAAGATAAGTCCTTGAAATGAAATTCGCTCCATATCGATGAAACGAAGTTTTGTGGCATAGCTAGGCCGGAGGGACTATCAAGTCCGAAATTGTTGATTCCTTGGTTGGCCCCAAATCGACTGTCATTTGTGACGGGTCTGGCTACACAGTCGCAAATTGTCGAACAACCGACAAATGGGATGAGCTGGCATGGGAACTCAGTCACAAACTCCAAACCTTCTACAGTTTTGTACAACCTCTGATTGGTAAATGTCCAATAAAGTCAGGAAATCAGTGTTGTGGCTTTGGCTTTACTCCACTTTACTCCCTGAATGATATAAATATCAATCCTTTACATCGAATCATATCACGGTGACTGCAGGTAGTTTAACCCGATTGTCCCGTATGGATCTGAATGCATAAATTGGCTGCTAAATCTGCCCATCGCCATGCCAAAATCACGGATTCTACCAATCCTTTTCTAAAGTCCTATGTTTTCTTGATTAATGGCTACAGCAGCACCCAGAACTCTACAGCTCTGCCAATAACCTCTGGTTATGAAACATAGCCATGGAAAATGATCCATAGAAATAGATGATATATATATATATACATTGATTTATGATCATTTGCCTATGAAATATTAAGTCACCAGGGGGTAATTTCTTGCCAAACTTCCCCGCCCATGCTGCCAAGAAACCACGCCAGGCTCGTCTTACCCGCGCCGTTAGCGCCGCCAGCCCCGGCGGCCAGGGCGGGGCAGGCAGGGCAGCGGCCGCGGAAGGCGCCACGCTAAGGGCCATCCAGTCGGGGCCTTCCACGACCATTGCAGAAGCTACCCTCCATGGTAAACATACAAAAAACTATTGAAAATGGCCATTGAAATAGTGGATTTACCCATTCAAAATGGTGATTTTCCCATCAGTTATGTGAACGTTTACCAGAGGGTAAGTGGGATCCCCCAGTCGTCACCAGTTTCAATGCCATACTTTGGTCGACTCAACGGAAACAGGGTTGGCACCCTGACCTTGGCTGTCAACCACCTCAACAAGTTCCAAGCGGCGTCGTGCCAGCATCTCCTGCACCAAGCCGCAGGGCAATGGTTGGAAGCCACAAATATCAGGGGGATAGTGAGGGATCACCAAGACAGAGAAGTTGTTTCCTACTATGTTCATGCTATCTTAGTTCTCTATCTGCTTGGCCACTCTTGAAAGAAACGAAAATGCCGATTGAACTGACAAAAAGATGGTGATGGGGGCAACTCATGTCAGGAAAAAATTCACGATATCTCCCAATAAAAGCTAATTCAAGCAAGCAGATGAAGGATTTGGGGCCCAAATCACTAGAAATCTCTTGAAATGCCATGGCAAATCTCGTCGTCACCTGCATCAGCCCTCATTGCCTGCCCCCTGGCACCTGTAGGAAGCGCGGAGAGCCATAGCGGAGCATATGATCCGCCAGGATGTAGCCGGAGGTGAACCTTGGGAGATATACTGGAGATAGGACTAGGACATATCTGGGGGATATAATTGGATAATATTGGATATATAATGGGATATACAAACCATACAGGCACTACTTATGATATCTGGCATTCAACATAACTCTTGATTGGAGACAGTGGCACACTTTGCAAACTGCCCAACAGCCACTTTCCGCCAAAAGACATGGATATATGATATATGTTGGAGTGGACATGTGATCTGACCACTGAAAACTATCAATTTGAAAGAAAAAAAAAGGAGGCAACCTAATTTCCCCATTGATTTTTCACTTTAAATTATTGTCAAAACAAAACATGTGTAAATGATATCCTCAGGAATTTACGGTACAGTAAGACATCTACAAATGGTGGATGTTTCATCGAGGTGTTTACCAGGGGGCATAAAGTTTCGCACTTCACAATGCAGTTCACCCCTGTCTTAAAGTTTGAAGTGTATCAACACTGAATCCTTTGCCGCAAACGTCCTTATCACCGAAAAGTAACACCAGAGATGCCCTGTTGTGGTCAATTTTTTTTATTGACTTCCCAAAACCTTGGATGGTCATCCATGGTTCAAAACTTGTTTCACTGCTCATTGGGATTGGATCAAAGGAACAGTCCCAGCTCTTCCACGTGCTTCAGCTGCGACAAATACGCCTCTTCGCTTCCTCCACGCAAGATCAAGACCTGCTGCTGCCAATCTTGTGAATGGCGATGTATCAAATCAAGGGCTTATAACAGTGATGTCATATGTATAGATAATTAATCTACAATGTCAAATCTTATGAGGCTATAGATTATTTCTAGACTATTATTGATTATTGTTAATGATTGTAGATTATCACCGAAGGAAGTTTAGAAGTCAAACTTCCGACAATATGGACAGATGGAAAAGCAGAGATGAGAAGAATCAGAGAAGAGAAGAGCAGAAGACAGAAGATCAGAGAAGAGAAAGAGTCAGAAGAAAGAAGATGCAGGCGCGCGAAAAATAGAAAGGTCGCCAAACACTATGTTTTTCCAGTGATTTTTGACTCCGGAGGGTCGAAAAGTAGGCTCGCTAAAGCTGCGGGTGCGGAGCCATCTGGCCAGATAAGAGATGAAAAGTTGCACGCCTTTGTGGCGCGAAGTGTATTTCGAAGTCATGACGGTCTTGGACCACTTTTGGAAGTTGAGATGTCGGAAACGTGCACGCCGTTGTGGCGCGAAGCACATTTCGAAGTCAAAATGTGCATAACAGCACGTTCGGAGCACCTTCAGAAGTTGTGATGTCGAAAAAGTGCACGCCGTTGTGGCGCGAAGCACATTTCGAAGTCAAAATGTAAAAAACACACCATGTTCGGACCACTTTTTGGAAGTTGAGATGTCGAAAAAGTGCACGCCGTTGTGGCGCGAAGCACATTTCCAAGTCAAAAGTGCAAAAAAATGACGGGTACTGAGCACTTTTGGACGTTCGGATGTCGTTGTGCGTGGCACGCGCAAGGAGTTGTGCGTCTTGTCACAAGTCAGCAAAACGTGAAGGTTTTGTAGCAGCTTCAACTACAACCACCACTACACTACACTACACTACACTACGCTATGCTACGCTACGCTACACTACACTACACTACACTACACTCACTACACTACTCTCCGCTACAACCACCACTACATTACACTACACTACACTACACTGCACTGCACTGCACTGCACTACACTACACTACACTACACTAATTACATGACACTACACTACACTCCACTACACTACACTAGACTACACTACATTCAATTACACTACACTACACGACACTAGCTACAACTACAACAACTACTAGGTTTACGACCATTTCGCGGCCGTGGTAAAAATGTCCATGATGTGAATAGAAAGTAAGCACAACGCTATAGCGAAACAATGATTTTGCACATCCAGCATGTGAAAATGCATCATTGTTTTTCAGAAAACTACTTGTTTGGTTTGCACTGTCATCATCATAATGAGCATCACCATCATGATCATCATCACATCATCACATCATCACATCATATCATCATCATCATCATCATCATCATCGTCATCATCGTCATCATCGTCGTCATCATCATCATCGTCATCATCATCATCATCGTCGTCACAGCACCATCACAGCATCATCACAGCATCTCACAGCATCATCACAGCATCATCACAGCATCATCATCATCATCATCACCTCCATCATCATCACAGCATCATCAGGATCATATAGATCGTCAGCAGCTGCAGTGTCAGTTGCGTAGCATCCAACATGTGTGCAACCTACAAGGAACGTTAACATGCCCCACCCCAACCTGACCCTTCAGTTGCGTAGCGTCCAACATGTGTGCAACCTACAAGGAACGTTAACATGCCCCACCCCACCCTAACCCTTCAGTTGCGTAGCGTCCAACATGTGTGCAACGTGCAAGGAACGTTAACATGCCCCACCCCACCCTAACCCTTCAATTGCGTAGCGTCCAACATGTGTGCAACCTACAAGGAACGTTAACATGCCCCACCCCACCCTAACCCTTCAGTTGCATAGCGTCCAACATGTGTGCAACCTACAAGGAACGTTAACATGCCCCACCCCACCCTAACCCTTCAGTTGCGTAGCATCCAACATGTTCTGCAACGTACAAGGAACGTTAACATGCCCCACCCCACCCTAACCCTTCAGTTGCGTAGCGTCCAGCATGTGTGCAACGCACAAGGAACGTTAACATGCCCCACCTCACCCTAACCCTTCAGTTGCGTAGCGTCCAACATGTGTGCAACCTACAAGGAACGTTAACATGCCCCACCCCACCCTAACCCTTCAGTTGCGTAAGCGTAACGCACAAGGAACGTTAACATGCCCCACCTCACCCTAACCCTTCAGTTGCGTAGCGTCCAAGATGTGTGCAACGTAATTGCAAGGACCGTTAACATGCCCCACCTCACCCTAACCCTTCAAATACGTTCAAAAAACAAAAAACACTTCCTGCCACGGCCGTGCAGCGGTCGGTGTCCAACTACTACAACTACAACTACACTACATTTCACTACACTACACTACACTAATTACACTACACTGCACTCCACTTCACTTCACTACACTCAGGTACACTACACTACACTACAACAACTACAACTAGAGCTGCACTACACTACATTACACTACATTACACTACACTACACTAATTACACTACACTACACTACATTACACTACACTACACTACACTAATTACATTACACTGCACTACGCCACACTACACTACACTACACTACACTACACTACACTAACTACAACTACAATTACAACTACAACTACAACTCTTTACACGGCACTACACTAGACTAGACTACACTACCCTACATTACATTACACTACACGCATTACACCACCACAAATGCAACTGCAACTACACTACACATCATTACACTAATTACACTACAGCACAACTACAACTCCACTACACTACAACTACAGCTGCACTACACCACAGTCACCACACTACATCCAGCAGTTGTGGGTGAGGTCCACTGCAAACATTGCATCCATTGCAACAAACACAACTCCAACCACCTTTCAGTCCATCAGTGGATTCGCTCTGCCATCCGTGATTCACAACAACCGACCTCTCCTATAGGATTCCTATTGTTGAAACTTCCGCCACCGCCTTGTGCGGTACTACTGGTAGATTATTATAGATTGAAGATCCATATGCACAATGTCAAGAGGTTGTGGCACCAACCATTCTTTCCGTGTGAAAGCTACGGCTGAGGGCTGGCCGGGAATCCCTCTAATTGGTGACGTAGCAAGAGTTCACTTCTGCTCCCTACAACCCACATTGTCGAAAACATACAAAACATCCAAATCATCACGTTCCGTGAACCCGAAAAGGCAGCTTCCTGATTTTCCGAAATCACTGTTCAAAACTCCAACTTCAACCCCAGCCCCAACCCCAACTTCAACCCCACCCCAGCCCCAAGAGACCTCCACTGCATTGCGCCCGTGGCTTTCCAACAGCTGCGGCAGCACATCTTCGGGCTGGCCCAAAAGGAACTCGACCGAGCCGCTTAGGCCCAGCAGTTCCTTGGGGGGTCTGCCTCCAACCTTTGGATCATAGGGGTAGCTATACCCCCCATTTTTCAACCGACGCATCCCCAGGTTTGGGCGCTCCGAAACGGTCAACCCTCAAAAACGTTGCGGGATTTACGGAAAAAAAATGTGGGTTCCTCTCTAAATTTTGATCCAGCGACGGCCACGCAGCGTGCCGCAGCCACGTGCATAGGATCCTGCAGAGGGCATGTGTTGAAAGATTCTCACCCGAAGTGTCTGTCCAGGGGACTTCCTATAGTACTGATGGCGGATTTTGGATACCCAACAATAAGTTACATAGATATTAAGAGAAAACAATGTTCACCTACACCTCACTAGATACCTGCAAGATTTACATTCACCAAACATTCACCTAATGATTCACCAACCAGTCAGCAAGGTTCATCTTTCAAGATATTTGAAAAAAATCGTGTCTAAATTATCCGTTTATGATTTTTAAGTCTAACAAAATATTGGTTTCCCATTCACTTAAGCATAGTAACCTCTAAAAATAGTCACTACTTCTTTTATCCCACAGTAATCCAAAACAGCAAACTTTCCTTTGTCTACCCAACTACTGAAGAACAAAAAACAATGACCAAAAAGTTCAAGAAAGTAGCATCAAGAATCTTCCCTAGTGCTCGAAAGACCCTCCGAAAGGTGTTGCGACCCTAGTGCGCCAACTGCAAATTCAGTCTCGCAAGATCTTTCAAGTCGCAGAGCTTAACATCTACCATCTGGTTATGACTAACATAGCCATGGAAGATCACCATTTTTTAAGTTCGGTAAACCATCTATTTCTATGCGCCATTGTAATACCATGGCTATGTTAGTCATAACCAGAGAAAAAACACCAAACAAACTTCAACAGCCAGATCCACCAGAAACCTTTCCTTTCAGGGGCCTTCCGGATCTTCCGGGGCCCTGGCCATCCTGGGCCATCCTGGGCCCCAAACGCCAAAAAACCGTTCCCCTCCTCCTGGACGCAGAGCACCCTGCCGCCGTGCGCCGAAAGCCGCCAAGCCAAGCGCAACGAGGACAGCATGCCATCGCCAGGCGCTTGCAGCTCCAGGACCAACGAAGGCTGCTGGGAGGTGAGCCTTCGCGGAGGGGAAGTCATGGCAAAGCTGAGATGCTCACGGGATTTAACCCTTAGAAATGTGACCTTCTACGATGTAATGGAATTGAATCTGCCAATTGTGTCTGAAATGGCCAAAAAAAACATGTTGTTCTTGTGTTCCACTGGTCTTTATCACCAATTTCTGTCCGATGTGGCTCAATATTGATCCAACTCTTCAGATAAGCAACTCGTCAAAGACCGCGGCTCGTGTACCTCAGTTTTGCGTGATGGTGAGGCGCGAAATTTGAGGTCTGGTAGGGTAGAATAGTTGAATAGTGTGAGTCAAAAGTGCTTGGACGAAACATTGGATGCTTCGGTGCTATAACCTGACCAAAGTCTGTGGGTTTGAAAGAGGTCCGACATGTTCACCTAGACCCAGTGACCCAGTTGAGAGACAAGCAGAGTAAAGCAGGACATGTTCATTGACCAAGAAAATCAAAGTGACCAAGCCGAATTCGCTTGTTGAAGGTCCCCACAAACCATTTAATTACCTTTCCAGCATTACAATGCTTGGGAACCAGAACTCAATGGTTTCTCTGAGCCTTCCGGGACGGTGACTCTATTACTTGGAGTCCCAATAAAATTTGATTTTATTGGAATTGGACAAATGCGATTTGAAGCAATGAAGGTCCACCCGAACATGAATAGGATGGAAATCATAACTGGAATGTATCCATGTTTGAGATTTGGCCTGAAATTTGCAGCCAAAGTGCCCGTAAATGTCTGGCCATGCTCAGTGGGAACCCACCCCATCTTGATGATCTACATACAGAACCAATCCAAGTTGTATCTTAAATTTCTGCACCATTTCCAATCCCCCAAACATTCTCGGGTGTCAAAATTAAAACCTCCGCCTCAATGCATGCACCCCTCCCCCATATCACCACACATGCTGGCACGCTCTTAGGAAGCAAATCCATGCGTACTATATTCACCATAGAAGTCATCATCCAAAGCCTCAAAATTCCATGAAATTCCAAAGACTTTGGGTTCTGGAACACCCCCATTCCCACCTCCATATCCCCAAAAATCTCAGCCCAAGGGCCCAAGTTCAGCTGCAGCTCCCGGCACTGCTCCGCTCCGAAGTCTTCCATCCACCGCAGCGTCTCCGGCGCGCTGCGCGCGCTGCGCTCGCGGCCGCGCCAAAGCTGCCGCAGCAGCTGCTCCAACTCCCAGAGGCGGCCAGTTTCACCGCTGCCGGCATCGGCGCAGTCCTTGAAGCCGAGGGAAGCTTCGCGTTCGGGCGATTCGGCAGTTGTAGTGTTGGGGGGGGCAGTTAGCTCAGCTGGTCCTGCAACAATAGCAAGTATAGCTACTAGACGACTTGAGAGACGCTGCCAAAACATACAAAAAGCGACTTTTTCAAACTAACAAAGCGGGGCCAGGTGTCTGGTAAATCGGTCAAGCTCGGGTTTTCGCCAGAAGCAAACCTTAGTCTTCGTCACAATCAGCTTCGGTCGCAGACCATCCGGGGAAGGCAGAATGCCACATGGCAATGCGGCTTTTTGTAAGCCATGATTGCCATTGCCACGCTGGAACGCAATAGTTTCCTCATGGTTGATTCATCTGCAGAAATGGGTTTCCGATTACCCTGTAAAAACACGATACAGGAGTCTGTATCATCATCTGCCTTTACACCGGAATGAAACCTTTTTCTCATCATCTTCTGCGACTTGGCAAACCGATAGAATACATCGAGCAAACAACAGGTGCGCTCTCTGCCCTGGGGAAAACTAAGATGGCAATGGAAACTCCTTGCGTTCAATAAGCACATTTCTTCACCACTTACGATCGCTCAAGATCTTATGCCCATAGGCCCAAAGTGATTAAAATTGCTTAAAATGGGTTCTACAAGTACCTGTGTGGGTCGCGACCCCACTGGCCATTCACTTGAAGCACCAGGATTTATTTGTCCGGGTCTGGTTCTTCCACAGCAACTTGGCCTCATACTTTCACTCTTCAATCACCGAAAAACTCCTCAAAACCTTCAAAAAGAAACTCGAAAAAAAAATGGTGTCCAAGTTGCCACCTCCATCACCTCCATGCCCCCCCATCCCTTCCACCTTCCACCTTCCAGCCCCAGTCACCGGCACGCCCAGCGCAACGTCTCATAGGGCGCCTGCAGGTCCTCCCAGCTCGCCTCGCGCCCTGCGCGCCAGAAGCAGCGGCGCAGCGGCAGCGCCAAAGCGTCCGGAGGCGGACGCCGCTGGAAACGCTGATGGACACGGTCCAGGAGCTGCCTCTTTGGGGGCTGCCGGGCTGCCGGGCTAACGGCTAGAAATTGTGGGGAGACAAACAGGGAACATGATTGTCCAAATTCAAAAAGCTGGGATTTGGGGTTCCAAATTTTGGAGACAGCCAGTGCAAATCACGGTAAATCACCGAACTATCCATGGATCTAAATGGGCCATGTTCAATAGCAACGTGTTAAATGCCCAGAGGCGAATCCATTTAGATCCCGTGAGATCACCATGTTTCATGATGAAATCCCATCAGAATCCCATTTTTTGATATTTTTCATGGCAAAACCCCATCAGAATCCCATTTTTTGATATTTTTCATGGCGAAATCCCATCAAAATCCCATCAGAATCCCATTTTTTCATATTTTTCATGGCGAAATCCCATCAGAATCCCATCAGAATCCCCATGAATTCTGCACAACTTTCCCTCTCCAAGGCCAAGGATACTCCAGGAGGCCCTGCGGCTCCATTTTTTCACGGCTCAGGGTCACCAGGGAGCTCAGGAGGTTCACCAAGCCTGGAATCCCCAAATATCGGAAAAAATGGTGGATTTATAGGAAGAGATGGTGGATTTATACGAAACAAATGATGGATTTAAGGGAAAAGATGATGGATTTATAGGAAACAGATTGGATTTTGGTTTTTAACGAACAAAAAATGAGGATTCAACCTTTGGAAAAATGGTGGATTGAGCCCAATAAGGTATTGAATTTCCTTGACTTTGCCGGCAAGGATTGACTCTATTTTGAGCCAGCAAAATGTGGATTGAACACAAAATTGGAGATCAAATCAGCATCAAATTGTGTATTTGTTGCAACAGAACTGGAGATCTTGAACAATCAAAATTTGTGTTTAGACCAAAAACACATGGAATTTCCTCGAAGAAACAAACTGTGTTTTAGAACGGGTAAAGCTCAAGGCATGGTTTCAGGTTGCTCGCACAATCCAGATTGCCCTGGGTGCAATCCAAATTTCTGTCGCTGAAATCCACAAGAATCACCCAGATTGGTGGCTGCCCGGCTGCGTGGCAAACACAACAAGTCTGACCAGTCGTCGCTGGAAAATTTGTTGCTTGGGATCATCCTGGTTTTTCCGGATCCAGCAGTTGATCAAGAATACCCTCTGGTAATTTAACATAGCTATGGAAAATCATCATTTTTAATGGGAAAATCCACTATCAATGGCCATTTTCAATAGCTATGTTAGTTTACCAGAGGGTAAATGATCTCCCTGGCTCTCCCTGGCGAAATGTTGAATCCCCCCATTTTCCGAATAGTGGATTGACCTCAGGCGCCATATCCGATACACCAGTCGTTGCTGTCGCCTGAGTCATCCAGCTCCTCCAAATGACCCAGGCTCAACTGCAACAGATGCGGTACCACCTGCAGCCAGGCATGGCTGCCATGGCTCACCCTCAACCAAACCACGGCCGCTAAACATATCCCCCAAACGAAAGGACACGAAATGGAGGTTTATATAGAAGTTTACGTATAATATAAATCGAGGTTTAGAGCTGGGAAAATCATCCAAGCAAATTGGAAGATGTTCCATGTATTGAATTACCAAAGGTTTTTCGACCAGCTGAAATTGTGTGGTCCATTGGTACCAAGCTGGTGACCCGTAGCCAGGGAAATGGGGAAATCGAACCACCTACCAGTTGCCGGCAACATGTTCTCCATCAGTATCACCCTTTTTTCGGGGTATCAGCCACTACATTCCACCATTTCAAGCAATATGCCATCCCCCAGAACATGGGGAAATATATGTTATATATATATGTGTGTGTGTATCCTACGAATCGAAAGATCACATCCATTTACAACCAGGTTATCAATCACCGATTTGGGTATTGCCAATTTTATCTATATGGGGGATTCAATAAATGGTGGTATCCCAAAAATAGTTGGTTTATAATGGAAAATCCCATTAAAATAGATGATTTGGAGGTATCCCTATTTCAGGAAACATCCACATGCGGATGGGTTGGAAAAGAATCACAATTTGCCGTATGTTGGGGGATGGACATCAACAAACTCCGAGTTCACAGCCAGGGTACCAGAGTGCCATCAGCCACAGCCAGATACCCTCCACTGGAAAATTCACCATTTAGTTCGATGAGGCGATTTCTCCAGTTAGCCATAGTTAAACCATATTATGGCAAATCACCATCAAATCCCACTAAATCATGATTTTTAATGAAAATCCCATGGAAATTCACCATTTCTATTTGGCGAAATCCCATGGAAATGTGGTCCCGGAGTTTGCTCGCCTCATCATCCCTCAGATCCCTCGGCCACAGCTTTGCCAGGCCCCAAACGAAGGCGCTGAACTCCGCAGCGCTGAAGCTGCACAGTTTCCCTGCAGTTTTCGGAGAAAAATCCCAAAACAGCCTGCTTTGAAGTAGAATTTACGGGGAAACCATAGGAATTTCATTGGTATTTGGTGGAGAGTTTTGTTCCAGCACCAACATGGTAATTTATATCTTGATTTCAGAATAAAAAAACTAGCAGCATTTGGCATCCCAATTCGACTCCAACTGTGTTCCCGGGGAACTCCAACATGTCAACTTTCATATTCTACGTAGTGCGGGAAGATTGTCTACATTAACGATACATCAGAGATATCAGAAATGAGGGAAAGAGAGGAGCGAATTATACCCTCTGGTAATTTAACATAGCTATTGAAAATGGTGATTTATAGTGAGTTTTCCCATTGAAAATGGTGATTTTCCATAGCTATGTTAGTTTACCAGAGGGTACATTTCTTGAAGTTATGAAATCCAGCCAAGGAAAGCTAGTCAGCTACTCCTTGAAACAGCAGGTGTACGCATATTTCTTCTCAACAAACATAAACACATTTGGTGTAAGTGACCACGAAGTCAATACAAATTTCAAGCAATCTTGGGCCTAAAAACCGGACATCTCGAGATTTCCGCATTGTTGGTTGGATCCTTGTTGGCCGAATTAACGCCTTTGATGCCCGAGACCATAATCATTCATTATCCCCATGTTCAATCTAAGCGTCAGTTAGCAATTTGTTGTGCTCCCAAAAATAATTCTACTGTATCATTTGGGAATGGGTTTATAGTACCCAGTAAGATTTTGGGGATGTTTATGCAATTGTGTTTACCACATCACTAGATGTTATCTAAGATCCATTTATCATAATACTATAAAATGATTTATAAATGGGATACAATACTATCATAATACTATCTAAGATCATCTAAGATCATCATAAATGGAATAATTATGAATACCATCTGGTTATTTAACAGTTCGCCATGAAAAAAACACCATTTTCAGTTCGGTAAACAATCTATTTCGATTAGGGCCATCTATACTACATGGCTATGTTAGTCATAACCAGAGGGTAGTTCATTCATATAAATCCCACTTACCCTCTGGTAAACGTTCACATAACTGATGGGAAAATCACCATGCTATTAATGGGAAATCCACGAACTAAATCACCATGTTCAATAGCTATGTTAGTCATAACCAGAGGGTAAATCATATATAAATCATATATATATCATATAAATCCCACTTAAATTACCAGAAAATGCCATTGAAATCCAGGGATTCTCTGCCCATCCCCCTGGTCGTCCTCGAAGGCTACGACTACCGAAAGCCTCCAGAAGGCTCGGAGTGCTGAAGTTGGCCTGGGCCGGGGGATCATTTGTCAGGCACAAATCATAATGATCTATTAATATTATTATATATAAATAGCTATATATATATATATATAGCTATACATGTATATTATATGTTTATATATGTTTATATATGTTTATATAGCTATTCATATGTATATATATATATATTATATATATAGCTATTTATATATGTTTATATATGTATATATTATATCCCATCTGCTCCATGGTGCTGGAGTATGTACCTACATAACTGGGTTATTTTTAGAGCAAATGTTGGTAAATATTCCAGCACCATGGAGCATATGGGTATTAGATATTATAGATAATCTATATCAATAATAAATTATAATGATTTATATTAGATAATAATAATAATAAATGATATGCGGGTTTCCGCAAATGGGGGTACCCCAAAATGGATGGTCTATACTGGAAAATCCCATCTAAAAATGAATTATTTAGGGGTACCCTCCATATTAGATAATCTAACCATTATAATTGATGATGATAATGATTGATACATCTAACAATCATACATCATCATGGATAATGTTAGAATGGTTAAAAAATAAAAAATAAAAAACATAATCATCATAAACAATCAGAATAATGATGGTAGTAGTTTTTGATGATCATGGATATGTAGGTAATGTTAAAGATCATCAATATAGCTAGGTAATTGCACATGTTTGATGGCGACTGGGCCCCCGGGCTGTTTCTAGGACTTGGAGTACCCAGAGGAGTCATCCAAGCCATTCAACCCCATATTTTCGAAGATTGGATCGAAAGATGTCGCTGATCCGCCCACAAGGCATCACTGGCGAATCCCAAGTTGATCCCATAGTTCCAGTAACCCGCAAAAAGATAGAGAAAAGAAGTCGAAAAGTCATTTTTCTTACTCAATTTCAGTTGGATTTTCCGCTTCCATCTTTGTGGTGCTTGCTATACTGATATTAACATGGGTAGCTCCATGGGTAATGTTTACGTGAATCCACACGGGGCCAATCCACAACATCCCAGACACCGTAGCGAAACACCAGCAGCTGTTGGCCAACTGTGCGGGCTCCAAGACGTGCGCATGCCTGGCTGGACAAAAAGTTGTGAAATCCAATTCTTGTTTGTAATGGATTTAAGGGAAAACTCTGCAGTTTTCCAGGAAACCCCTTAAAATCATCGAAAGTTGTGTTTCCAAAAGTTGTGTCCTGTATATTTTCAGACAGGAGGCCTTGTTTGACCCTAAAAATATTGGAGACGAACCATCCGGCAGAGATCATCCGATATCTCCCTGTTTTTTGCTGCAAATATGATCGCAATAGCTGGGGTTACCAAATTGTTGCTGCACCAAATGATGAATATTTGCAATCTCAATGATATCGTTTTTAGATATTATCGCAAGTTTTACCAAATACCTTTCCCTTTCATCTCACAGCCCCATCTGTCCTCGCTAAATTCCTAAAATCTACTCGAAAGAAAAACTCAAGAACTGCAATATCACCTGAAATCACCAGCCGCCTACCACCACCTTATGAAATCGTAAGCAATCTATCTACATCCAAAAAAAATACCCATGAATGGCAAGTCCTTCTTGACTTGAGAACTACCCCCCATATCGCCGGCCTTCCAAAAAATGACTAAAACTAAATGGGTCACATCTCGCCATCCCAAAAACCAGAGCAAAAATGCCATCCCCCATCCCCCATCCCCCCATCCCCTGGGGCCCCCATCCCCCACCAGACCCACCGTGCCTCACCACGTGATTCGCCAGTGCCTCCAGCAGCGGCACATGGAACACCTCCGCCGCGGCGAAGGCCCACAGCAGCTGCGATGCCATGGGCGCTGTCAAGCGACGCCTCATCGCAAAATGGCCGAAACCCTGGCGTTTTTCGGGATGGAACCTATGGAAACCATGGTTTTTATTTCGATGTTCAGCCATGTTCAGCCTGTTTTTGGAGTTGCTAAACTATTTTTCTGGATGGTTCTCTGAGTGAAACTTACAATGTGAATGAAAGATGATGGTCCCAATACGGGGGCCCGCACCATCAAAATTTGGGGCATTGCTGTTTCTATATCCTTTGGACGCTTTCTCAAATACTTTCGTACAGAGAATGTTCCTGCGCACCAAAAGGCCTACGGACGGTCAACCTGTCGACATGGTCTCATGTCCAACCCTTTGAACATAGGAATGTCTTTGTGTTTCACCTCTCACACATACGAAAAAAAAACATGGGAACTCCAAGAATGAGATGTACCCATATGCATAAATACAATTGAATACAATTGAAATATATTGAAATATGTGTGTATAATATATATATACATAGCCCGTGAATTCCCCAGTGTTGCTGAATCTCCAGGCTTTGAAAAACATTCACCAAGTCACAGGAAGCCGGCCCGCACGCTGTGCTCCGCTAGGAGATCGAACAACTCTGGGTCCACCTGGAGCGTTGAGTTTTACGGAAACAAGCTGGAAATAAGCCGCATTCATTCATGGAAGAGTCGAGACATAGACTTTTTTTGGCCATTCCGAGGGGAAAATGAAAAGAAGCCACGAGCGATCGAGATATTTTCAACAAATGAAACATGTTTTCCTTACCAAAAAAGTATCCAAAGAATGGAAAAGGGCGAGAATTGATGGTCGTACCATGTTCCATATGTTTTTCGGTACCATGACATTCAAATGTATTCCATAGAAACGTATCAAAAAAAGACCGAAGTACAAAAGAAGTGACCTTGTAAGGAATGAAGCCCAAAGACCTCTTCGTGAGGTCACTTCAGAAAAAGATCACAATAATAATAATGATGATAATAATAATAATACCCTTTGGTAAACTAACATAACTATGGAAAATCACCATTTTAAAAAAGTACCATTAAAATCCACAACCATCCGCCAGGTGACCAGACAATCAAGTATCACCTGGAAATGGTTTCTTGATGATCTTCCAATTGATTTGAATTTGAATTGGTGGTTGTCCCATAGGAGTTATAAAATCTCCTGGTTCCATCCTAGCCCCTCTGAAGCTTCTCCTGAAAAAAAAGGCATGGCTCATGAATTGGTTCCCAATTCAAAGATGGATTATCCAATGGATAGCTGGGAAATGCTGGGAAAATCATCGAACATCGGAACTTTTCCAAATCATCCCTCTGGTTCAATGCGGATCACAACTGACGAGGGGAAGAAAAAATATCCCATCGAAGTAGGATTCGAACACCACGATGCCACGAAAATAAAAAGATAGCTATCCCATGTATAATAGATTCAATAGATGGGTTACAGTTCTTAACCACTAATGGCTTATTTTAAAAAAAAAACTATATAGTTATTCTATAGTCCCTTGAGTGGAAAATCGCCCATCTATAAATGGCATATAGACGAGTTCCTAACATTTAAACTAACCACATAAATTGGCACTTACTAACCCGGAGGCCTAGAAATCAGAACTACCCTCTGGTAAACTAACATAGCTATTGAAAATGGCCATAGAAATAGTGAGTTTTCCCATCAATAGCATGGTGATTTTCCCATCAGTTATGTGAACGTTTACCAGAGGGTAAAGAAAATCAATTGGCACTTACTAACCATTACTAACCACATAAATTGGCACTTACGTAACCTTACTAACCCTAGAAATCCTAGAACTATCGGCTGATCCTCAGGCCATCGCCACCTGCTCCAGCTTCGCCATGGCCCAGCAGAAGTGCACCACGTCCGGCTCCACGAAGTCGCCCAGCGTGGCTTCGGCGCGCCGCGCCAAGGCGCCCAAGGCGGGCGCGGAAGCCGAAGGGCCCAGTCTGCCATGGAGGACTGGGGGTTGGGGGGGTTGGGGGGTGGAGGACTGGGGGTTTGATGTGGTTTTTTTGGGGGGAAAGAGTTGGCAGTTGGTAAACCAGATGATATGTATGAAGAACAATTTTTGCTGAAGATGATAGATTCTGATAGTTGTCTCCTGAGTCGAAAGGTTTGAGGCAGAGACTGTTTTGCGCTGAAAGCCATGTTCGTCATCTAGAGACCCAACAGGACGGTGCAGCGATCATATGTCAAGTTGCCACGGTACTTCTTTGGTTTGGGGGTCCCTGAACCAACATGGCAAGAGAAAAACATCCGAAAAAAACTCTTGCCTTTTGAAATTTAGGGTGTTCAAATCACTGGATTGGTTTAAGGGAACATTTACAGGAAAGCCCCATATTTAATGGGAAAATCTATGGTTTCCTGTAGATTTTCCCTTAAACCAATCCATTGATTCAAATCACTCTGTCTGATTTCAGTATGAAAAAAAAACTGTTTTCGCTCCTAACCCCCAATTGAATGTTAATGTGGTGGAGTCCAATGTGGTGGTGAAACCCCGCCGGAAAATTCCAGGAAATATCCCAAAATTTCTTAAAAATGCAATCACTTACATATTTCAAAATTTCTTCTTTGCATGAACTTTTTATCCTCTTGTCAGGGTGACCTCTGCAAAGATTCCCCACCTGGTTGACTATGTAATTCCCAAGGACGAGCGCAATTTTGGGGCTTCATGTAGTGGTAATGGTAATTATATCATCATTGTGGCATTTGTTTTTCCTACAATAACCCATAATCCGATTCCTGTATCAATTGGAATGATACTTCATGCCATCTGCTATGTGTGCATGCCGCTTGCGCATCACAAAAAAAAAGGAACTTCTGGGATGGAAATCAAGCAACTTGGAAGCTGATAGACTGAGATTGGAAAATCTTATTTTTAGCGGATCGTTATTGGACAAAGGGAATCCAAGCATGTGAGTTACAAGAAGTTTTTGTGATAAATAGATAGACCTTTGCTTTCCTCCCCGTCAAAAGACACTTTTTTGCTGTCTCAGTGCCTTTTTGTAGTGCTTTGAGACTGCTATCCGGCTGCACTAATCTATCAAGGCTGGTGGCTGGTAGGGGCTAAATGTTGCATACTGACAAGCTATTTCCGTTGTTTCCGTGGTTTCCTGCAAGGCAAGGCTAAAACTAGCCGAGTTGCATCATGTTATGAAATTAGCATAATACTGTATTATCCCGAATCTCTGTTTGAAAGTGGCTATGGAGAAACCAAATGGTTAGTTTCATAAGGAACTTGTGACCTTGAATAATTCTGTAGATTTTCGACTATGGCTATTCGAAATTTTGCTTCTCTCCCTCACTGCTAATCTGTGTTGCCCTGCAAAAAACTTCTATTTACATGCCCTGGAACTTCCAGCCACATGGCCTCTCTGAGAAAAATGCAGTGAACTGTTTCCACAGTGCACATCAGTGAGTGTCACAGGCGACAGACTCGTGGGCAAATGCGAATCCTTTTGTCATCGGTTCTTAATCAGCAATTAAAAAACTGGCCTGGAATGCTTAGAATGGGACTTCAAAGCTGTTAGTTCCAGTTGGTTCATAAGTTGCCAGAAGCTGTCACATTTCAGCGAAATTGGCCCAATCAGATGATTCATCCATCTGCTCCAGCGCCTTAGTGCTCAGTCTCGGGATTTCTATCGACCTTTGATATCAAATCAAGAATCAGTTTTCTGTTGATGTTCTCAGCTAGTTTATGGATAAGTCAGATGGAGCGGCAAAAATCCAGAGCATGGCTGTTATTTTTTTTAATTTCTCCGACGTGGCGCATATAATACTCATTTTTTCTCGGTGATAGGTTGATCACAAGATGTTGAGACAGCTTCAAGTGCAAGGAATCTAAGCTTCTCATCAGGCAGCCCCTGCTTGGGCCCACTCACTATGGTGACCTTTTTTTAGGAAAACCCATGTGCTCATTTCATGTCATTGCATATTGACCTATTGCCTGATATGTTTACGATATTTTCTAGCATCCCCGCACAAGGCGGTCGCGGAAGCGTAAAAAATAGATTAAAAAATTGCGATCAACTCCAATCGCCTCGATTTCTCAGAATTCACTTGTCTAAAAGCGCCTGGGCGGAGCACGGGCTCTGCGCAAACGTCTCCATCTTAGATCATGAGGTCACCAAATGCAAAACAGAATATGATCTGGTGAAAGTACCTGCCTAAAATTTCCTAGAAAATCTGGACCGTGAAACGGCCGAGAAAAACCGTGAAAAGCCACCAAACACACGCCTGAAATTTACTCATTTTTTGGAGTATGTTGTAATCTTTTCACGGGTTTTTCATTGATATCTTTGGAACCATTGGTCATTTCAAGCAGTCTTGGCACTTACAGACTTGAAATTAGTTGATGAGCAGCTGTTGTTACTGAGGCTGTAAAGTGTATGTGGGGGCTTGGCGAGTTTCCCCTTATATATATGTCAACATATATCCCAAGATTCCCAAGATCAAATAAACCAACAATGTGAAGTAATCTATAATATATGCGTCGTTTTTGGTTGACAGTAGTACGGCCCGGCACTGCATTGAATCCAGACTAGATGCCCATGGATCTTGCCAATCCAGTCTGGCAGAGGGAACCCTTCCATGGCCCGAGAGTCGACGAGTCGGAGCAAGTTGCGAATGAAGTTGATTGTTGGTGGGTGTTTGTTTTTCGGAATTGCTTTACAACAAAGTACATCAATTGGCTTTACGTGATTCTTTGCAGCGAGGTGTTCCAAATCAAAACATGGTATCCTTTCCGCACATGTTGAAGAGATGAGTATGTCTCAAACCAATTTCAAAAACATACTGCATCCTCGTCTCAGTGCCGTAGCCTAATGTGAAAGGAAACGGCCACGTCACGGCATGCACCTGTTTTACAACATATCAGACATGGAAAACATGTGAATGCCGGAAAGTTTCTGGAATTTTGTGGGGAAATCAGAGAATTTAAGAACTCCTTTGCCGCCACTTTGGTTTCCGCCGCTAAAGCAATCAAATGAAACCCTCCACTTGACCACAAAACGAATCTCGGTGAACCCAGGCTATCACCGGCCTGGCCATGGCCCAGCAAATGTTCGCCAAGCACTGGGGCGTTAGCTCCTAAAGTCACAATAAAACCAACATTTACTGATGAAAAGATCTCAAAGGTCTCAAAGGTTGCTATTCAAGTGGGATTGATAATCATAGTTGGTACCTCTATTATATCCTCTGAATCTAAGGTTATTACTAAGTTATTACTGATAAAATCCCATATCCTGCTATTGTTATTATTATGCTAAATTCTTCAAAGTACCTGAGGCACAGTTCTGACCCTTGTGAACCCTGTGGAAACTGGCGCTGCTATCGATCAGCTCACCTCCCAAGTCCACTTAAATCCACCAGGAAAGCGATCCCGCTACTAGTCTTCTTAGACTTCTGAAAATCATTCTTAGATTCAAAAACAAAACTCAAAACTGAACTCTCACAAAAAAAAACACTTGAAAGAAAACCGACAAAAAAAGAACGAAAACCTTTCGAATCTTTCAAGAAACTGTTAAACGGTTTGCTTCGTTCATCCGTGTCCGGTGCATCCCAGCGAGTTCAGTAAATTCGTGGTAACAACCAGCGTATAGCAGTCCAGTTATATGTGGATCCCTCAGTTTTTACAGATTACAGACATGGACATGGCTAAAAAAAACTGCTACTCACATACTAATTTCTTTGTTTCACATAGTTAAATCATGTTAACATAGTTAAATCATTGAAAATTGCCATTTATTGTGAGTTTTCCCATCAAAAATTGTGATTTTCCATAGTTATGTTAGTTTACCAGAGGGTAAATCCCAAAATCGTCCCAGTTCCCATCCCCCCCAAGTTCCTCCACCAAGCGCAGCGCGTTCCGCGCCAGCGCCTCGGTCAGGCACCCCGAAGCGTCTCCGTCGCGGCCCTCGTTGCGCCCGGCGTTGCCGAAAGCCCAGGCGAGCATCGAGAGATCCACGGACTGCGCGTTGGAGGCGGCACCTCATGCGGCTGGAGAAAAACTGCCGTTGATTTTTTTGGGGGGGTGTATCGAAGTAGGTGGATGGGGTATGAACCAACGTATGACTGTTCTAACTATTGGGAGTGCAGATAGGGGGAACTTTCCATGATTCCATGGCGAGTTCACACCCATAAGTTGGGACATGGGGCAGATTTTCCAGGCAAAGTTGATCCCAGAATCTAGTTGCAAGCGGGTTGAGAAACCCACAATCGTGGCATCATTCATATTCTCAAGTTTTCTGATTCTTGATGCTTCTCGGATCAGATTCACATTTTCCAGACTTACAATATTTCCTGGACAGAAGCAACAGTCCCGCTTTCCCTTATTGGTGCCCAGCCACAGATCACGGCATCTTCCATGGTCTGCCAAAAGTCCGGGAACTCGTTAGTCAGGTCCAGCTTTGAGACCGCCCAGCCTGACAAAGGGGGAATCCAAAGATCATCGATGCCTCCAAAATTGGGAGAAAATCTTGGTCGGCCCAAAAAAGGGGCGCTGCGCGTTTATTTTGGGAAAATGCGGATTTTCCCTGATCCCGTGTTGTGGTTGGGAGTATGCTCCGTTCTCGATAGTTGAAACAGAATGTTGGATGGTCCAATGGCTGTTCCTGCTTAAATCCCAATGTTTTTCTTGCTGCGAAATAAGCCCGATGAACTCTGAGATCTTCCTTAGTCATGTGGGTCAAACAATGCCATAAATACACCACCATCTTCCTTAGTAATGTGGGTAATTTACCATGCCATGTTTACCACCCATGACTGGGAATGGAAACCATACCACCTATATATTTGCGGCGATGACTGGGGGATGGTTTATGGCATTGTTTTACCCACATTATAGGATTATGGGATATATCATGGGATGATAATTCTATATCTAATGGGATATCGCATGGGATTATGATGGGTTGAAATCAGTGTACGGGCTATGGCATTGTTTTACCCACATTACTATTCCACTATTACTATTATAGTTGGTACTATATTATATTATATCATATTATATTACATCATATTACTATTCCACTAATCTTCCACTTATCTTCCACTAATCTTCCACTAATATTCCACTAATCTTCCACTAATCTTCCACTAATCTTCCACTATTGCCATTGTTTCACCCAACTGCTAAAGACCCAAGCCACTTCCAAATCGCCAAGCCACAGAGCTTTGCCAAATCGCTGCTGGTCAACGCCTCGGTCTTTGCAGAGGCACACCTCGGCGCTTCGCCAGCAAGCGAAGCCAAGCAGTTTTCCGATGTCCTTTTTTTAACAGACCGATAGGAAGCCGTTTGATATCCCGAGATATTGATCTTGATCTCATTGAATTCGCAAAGAAAAAGTTTCCAGTTGAAATCTTCTTCTATTCTGGGCCTCCATCTTGAAATTCTACAGCTTCAATGGCCTCAAAAGCCGAAACTCCATCCGGAACACGCACCTGGTGAGCTCCAACCACAGAGCCATCTCTTTATGGCCCAACTTGGCTGCGGAATGCGCCACCATCGCAAGTCCTGCTGCCAGGGGGAACCCATCACTGGATGAGACACTTATGGATAAAGAAGTTTCCTAAAATGGGGGCACACCAAATCATAGATATCATAGATTTTAGTAGGATGATGTAGGATGTTCCTTTATAAACCATCCATTCTGGGGTACCCCTATTTCAGGAAAGCTCCATACTAAGCTGTAAACCTGTAACTTATCCTTTCGGTCCTCTGGGTTCCAGACAAGGGACGCAGTCGCGCACACGAGCCAGGAGCGAGTTCCACGCAGGGTAGCCTCGTGAGGAGTCCAAAGGAATCCCAAAAACCAGACCACCAGGCCCCAACCCGTCAGTTCGTGGTTGAGCTGTGGTTCAGCCTCAAAAAGTAGTGGAATTGGACGGAGTTGAGACATGTTGCGGACTCAAAAAGACAAAAACTTTTCCTGTTCGATCGGTCTGGGTCTTGGATTTTAATCCTGGAATCTACAAGTGACACACCCATGGATGTGGCAATCTGCCAGGTGTTTCTGACCAGTTGCCAACCACAATTCCGACTGGCCCCCAACAAGAAAGGAAATTTGAGTATAGGCCAAGTACTTTTAGTTGATTTGTTTCACAAAAACCTCCATTTATAGGGAATTTCACAATTGCTATGTTTGATTGCCGGAAGGTACATTAAACCATCCAACAATTTCCAATGATTTTCCCAATGATTGATAGATTTTCCCGAAAAAAAACAACCATGTTCCAACGATTTCCTATGATTTCCCCATGATTTTCAAATGATTTTCAACCCAGAAAACTCCATCCTTCCCAAGCTCCAAGGCGCCAAAGCGCAGAGTGCTCAGCGTGCGTTCCTCCACCACCCGCGCGGCCGCGGTGAAGGCTAAGACCACGTTACCCACGTCGAAGTGGGGCAACGCGCTGGGCGTCACCACACTCATCAAGGCCTTTCCGGGGAAAACTGGGTGAAGTCAACGGATTTTTCACCGGATTTTCCAAGAATAGATGGTGATCTGGTGGGAGTTCACCAAGAAAATGGGTGCCTTTTTTTGGGGGATTTAAACAAGAGATAACAAGAGTAAGGGGGTACTTGAGGATGTAGTGGGATATGTAATCAACACGGTATCATCTGAGAATTGATGAAACTTCAAGGACTTTCACCGTTCAAAAATGGCGAGGCACCGACACCGTCTCCACTCCCCGCAGCTGTCGATCTAGCTGCAACGCCGCATCGCTGCGGCGTTGGGCGCCATTGGTGGCGCCATTGGGGGCCCCGTTGGAAGCGAAGATGGGCGGAGGAACGGCTTTGGCCTGGGACCATGTGGACAGCAAAGTCCAGAAATGGGTTTTAAAATGGATCCATTTTGCCGATTTTGATGTTTGGCAAATCCCCACCTTGCTCCAGTGGCTTTGATGGTAGAAGGACTTCTGCACACCTGGGCTCGCAGCTGAGAATCGGAAAAAATCGGGGTGTGTAGACTCTGACAAATGACTTTTTCATGGTCCCCAGTGGGCAACGTTGACAGCCCTCTTGGCTGCCGAAATCTCCATTGATAATCCAACCTGCAAGAAAAAACTGGCTGGAACCAGTGGAACCCCCGAAGAATCCCGAAGAATCCCGAAGAATCCCTTCCCCAAAGGCACCGTTGCCAGTCTCAGCTCTGGGAGCGCAGCTGCTACCGCAACTGCCACCGCTGCTGAAGTAGCCGTTGGTCGCCGGCGACGGCGACTTGGCGACGGCGCCATAAAAGGACTGCATGTTCAGCGGCAGCGGGGTCCCTGGTTCCGGTGTATGGCTATGGGATGTGAACTCAGATGTTTTCATGGTTTTTGAAAAATATGAAGTCAGCTGAAGGATGTTGAGGTACAAAAACCTCAGGTCGCCACGGTGGCAGAATTTGAAATCAAAGGCAAAAGCCCATTGATGGATAGTTGATGGTAGTTGTGACCCCATGAGAATATCTGGAAAGGTGACCCCAAACGGTGTTGGTTGCCGTATTGATCCCCATTGTTGACACTGTTGACACTCTTGATCCAAATGCATAGGAGGGCTATACTATAGCAAGCAAAATCTGGGGGATAACAAGTGCAAAGCAGTTTCTACGTGTTTCTACTGTATGTCTATGCATATCTCCAAGACCCACCAGTGAAAATTCACCAGCAATCCCAAAAAAAGTTGTCGGTTGATGCTTGAGTGGCCCATGTCAGGAGCATTACAATCACGGGGATCAATCAAAAAATGACCCAGCTCTCATCCCAGCAGTGTTTCAGGGTTCCAGGCTTCCATTCCACTTATGTTCGGGCGGTTTCGGGCGTTTTCAAACACGACGCACCACCCTGACCCCCAGATGAGTTCTGCCGTTGAGATTGAAATCACCGACCAAATCCTTGGCGTCCAAGATTATCCAGATTCCTGGACTTACCCTCTGGTTATGTCAAAAAAGCTATTGAAAATGAGCATAGAAATAGTGGAAATTCCCATTAAACATGGTGATTTTCCATAGTTATGTGAACGTTTACCAGAGGGTAAAGACAATCACACGAACCAATCAGAAATGGACAATGGACCCATGTTGGTCCCTGCCACCATTACTAGCCATGATGCACGTCACCTTCGCAACTCGCCCAGCCTTCAAGGGATCGGAGCCGCAACTGCCACCTGCTGAGCAGCGATAAGTCACAACTGACGTATCGCCGTATCGGTTCTTTCACGTATCGTTTGTTTCATTTGGAGGGCAACGGCAAAGCTTGTTACATAGCAGCCACCTCAAGATTTGTAGGGTACCAAGGTCCTCTTATGTCCTTTTGGCCACCATGGGATGCTGCCGCATGATGTAATATCACTATGCAACCAATGACTTATGGCTACAACACCTGCTGATCAAGCGGAAGACGATGGCAAGACAGCAGATTCCCAACGGTTTCCGGGCCTTCCACTACCATTTCTGTACTCTCCGAAGGGCCCAAGGGCCCCACCACAGTGTCTTGCTGAGACTCCAGGTGTCGTTTTAACATCCTGGCGCTGTGGCATCGGGGAGAGGGCATCACCAAGCAAAACCCAGTGGCCCAAATACCAATTCCGGAACACACAGCAAAGTATTTTTCTAGATATGAACGTTCATATATACTCTAGATATAAACTAGACATAGAATGTATAGAAACTACAACAAACGATATGTATATATATATATATGAAGGTGTCCTAAAATGGGAGTACCCCTAGTTATCATCCAGCGAGCTTGGGGTACTCTGGAAACCCCATGGATCTTCCCCACCTGGAAGATCCATCCATCGCCTGGACTGCGAATTTTACCGAAAAAGGGCCGCGGTTTGAATTTCCCGTAAACTTACCAAAAAAACCCAGGGAAAACGAAGTAAAACCATGGATTCATGCAGGAAAATGATCTACTTTCTGGATGTTCCACATCTTTGTGTATGCTTACTGGAGGGTAAAAGCGGTTTATTAGCCTGGTACCCTTCTGTTCAAATCAAAGTAACTGGCAGTTCGGGATGTTCATCCTCCAAAGAACTGTACTTATAGACTTATGATCCACAGCCAATTTTTGGCAACCCCCCAAGATTTGGACGCGTCTATCTTTTTGGGGGGTTGCTATACAGGAAGCCACCAATTTTTTCATTGGAATACGAAATATGCATAGGTTATCAAAAATCATGTCAGTGGTGAAAAATGCCAGTTGCCACAGCGAGATGATCTTCCAAGTATTCTGTCCAAAACAACCAGTTTGGGCTTGGTGAAAATGTTCTAAGTCTCATCTGGAAAACTGAAAAAAATCATCTACATTTTTTTTAGGGACTGTTCCACTGCCGTGTTTCAGGAAAGTAAACAAAACCCGATTTTTTAAGGTAATATGTGGGTTTCTCTAAAAATAGCGTCCCCTGAAGAATCCACTGGTGAATGATCATGTTGGCGAGCTATACTTCACATGTTCTCAGCATTTAAAAGCCATGATGTTCCCATGTTGTGCCATCAAAAAAAAAACAAATAATAATCTCAAAAGAAGATCGAAAAGTAAATCCCCATGAATATAGTGAAGCTTCTCTTTTCTATCTTTTTGGAAATTGTTATAAATGATAGTTCAATCCCAGGTTCCGATCGCGATCAACACTGGGATCCCCCTACTCTCGCCAGTTGCAAGCGCAGATGAATGGGACAGCATCCGTCCTGGATCACCTCCAGAGGTTTCGAGGTTTCGGGGCTAGCCCCAGTCATCCAAGCCATGGCGACCACTGGGGGTCCACCCCCGTTTTCTTGCTCCTGATGAACTGATCTTTGGGGACTCCAATTCAAAAAGTGCTAAATCCAATCATCAACCCTCTTGCCGTGGATAATACCCTCTGGTAAACATACAAAAAGCGACATTGAAAATGGCCATAGAAATAGTGAGTTTTCCCATTAAAAATGGTGATTTTCCATAGTTATGTTAGTTTACCAGAGGGTACCCCCAAATGAACATTTTCGGGAAATGCTGGGTGTTGTGAGTATTGAGTGCTTCGTCTCGACTCGTCATGGCAGGAATTTCCCCCACTTTCTGTAGCTGATCTTGGCAGCCCATCGGTAGCCCAACAAACCGACCTTGACACACTTACCAATCTGGGTCAATATCAAATTCAAATCATGGAACTCGAATACACCCAATCATCATCATCATCATCATCATCCGATTATAATCCTACACATCATCATAACGAACGATGCCAACTATTCAATGCCAACGCCCCAACGGCGGACCTCGCGAAGCAAACGCCGTGGCACCAGCACCACGTCCCTTCCTGTCACTGTTCTGTTATGGGCTTAGGAAAAAATGAACGGAAGCCGGAGAAAACGATACAAAAGTTGGATCAAGGAAAAAATCTACAGGAAAATATAGAGGGCAACTAAAATCCAACAAACAAACCTGCACATGTTGGGGAAACATAGTTTAGAACATCCAAAACTCCTCCATCTTGAGGACCTCCGCAAGAAAACCCTATTTTTTTCTATTTTGGTGATTTCTGGGCGTATCTTTTTCCGATGGCCCAGGTGGGTATGGCTATGCAGATACATGGCCCAAACCATCAATCAATGGATTGGTTTAAGGGAAAATGTTCACCGGAAAGCCCCATATTTAATGGGAAAATCTATGGTTTCCTGTAGATTTTCCCTTCAACCAATCCATTGAATCAACAATCCAAAAATTTGGAAACAAAAGAAAAAAAACCATGCAAACTGATGATTTAGGGTGCAAGTAATTGATGTAGTTGGGATGGGTCAACAACTAAAATGGTATAGCGATAGATACACAAATGCCTGGTCATTTAGGATCTGAAACCATTGATTTTGGTTGTCAATAATTTTGAATGGTGGATAACTGCAAACATGTGCGAGCTGAGACATGTTGAGGCCAACAATCAAGAGAGCTGCATCTTCCCTTGGAAGATGTTTCGCACTCGGAAGCAATAGTCACTTGAAGTTGGATAAATCACCTGCTGTGCGCAACCAGGCTGGATTTCAGCTTCAGTTGAAGTGCAATTTTGACCTCACGGGGTCTTGGCTTACTGTAAACACGGGACTTGTGCCTTGTGCCGACTTTTAGTTGTAACGAAGGATCATGCGATGGGGCCCAAGAAATTGTTTGGCCCGTGAAAGCTGGCAGATCTGTCACAAGCATCAATGTTCAATAGATTACAAAATAGTCTATACCATAAATCATAACAACAATAACACAATCAAAACAACCTACTACAAACAAAATACAAAAAAAAACATAACAACAAAACAACAACAACAACAACAAAATCCTAACAACCTACTATTAATAAAAACCAATAACATAAACCATAACAAGCTCATCATATCAACCCATCTCATCAATCTCATCCGTAAAAAATATATATAATCATCATAATTGTATTGAATAATTTTCATCAAAGCATATACAAATATACATTATCTTACCTTATCTATTTCATAGGTGTTATTTCTAGAAATCATAATTGCTCGAAATAGTCCTAGAAAATAATTGCAACATATATTTTAATATAAATATATATTTATCAAAACTATAGGGATAATCAACATAATTTTCATAATCATTTATTATGAATATTATGGGATGAATTACCACAGTCTCTCCCTATAGGGGAAGCCTCAGCCCCCAGCCAAAATACTATCCCACCCCCAACATACATACCAGCATACATACAAACTAGCATATCACAACAGCATCACATCTTTCTCAATCTCAAATCTCTTTTACTCCGCAATTATCATGCCCAAACCGCCCTTCATGAACTTGTTGATAACCATGTCTTCTTAACCTCAGCGCGATGTAAATGGCACAGCAATCCAAACTTTGGGGGCGAAATGGAGTGAAAAAGATATCTATGGTGTGCGTCCAGACTTGTTGGTGCCAGTCTTCTCAAGTTTTTGGCACGGGTTGTCTTTGTATCAGGCATGAATGCACTGAATGGCAAGCTTGTGAAGGCTCACCGTGCATGCTCTATTGAAACGATGCCTACCTAAATCTACTGTACATGCAGACCTTTTCAATCATAATATGCTCAGAGCACTGTTTTGCAAGTCGCCCTGTTGGCGAAGCAAGCGTTCTCACGCACCTTCTTCGTCGCCAAAATCGGCGAGCAACTGGCGTGATGAAAGTGAAAACTGTCTCAAATATTCTTTGGTTCATTAGCCGCAACAGATATGGGCACAACTACCAGCAGGACAAGGACAACAGGAACTGCCACTTCTCACATTGTCTGTGCTGTTGGTCTCTTCAGCTCCAGCGCTCAATGCCAGGGCCAGGATGATGAGGCAAGCGACAAAACGGATTTGCGCCATGAACATGCCGACACCCCTAAGCTAAAAAGCGTGCCCGAGTGTTTGAACAAAAGATGCTGAAAAATGACACAAAAAAATCCAAGCGCAAAATGAAAGAGCTAATTATCTGTAGCTTTCCACTTGAGAATGTCAAAGGTGCTCAAATTGAAACAAATTCCAAGGTCAAGCTCTCCAAGAACATGTGGCTTCAAACCTCTGACTGGCATATTCCCAACAGCTGAGCGTCCCGACAACAGGATGAAGAAGAGATTAATGACAAAGCCAAGGCGAGGAAGGGCAAAGGAACATGGAGCGATCCCAGCCAATCACCCAAACGTGCCAAATGCAAATTCGTGGGGAAAACAAATGAAGGGCAAAACACAAAACCCCGAAACCAAAACAGCACATCAGATCAACCATCTCATGGTTGCATCATGGCTTTCTAAAAACACTAAATCTTTAAAAGTTCGTGTCTCATCAACAATCTTGGGTAATCAGGTAATTTGTAATATTTTTGGTTCAACTTTTCTGCAATCTCTTGCACAACATAATAACCATTCAGCCAGTGGGAAGTTCTTTCTTTCTCTGTAATTGCTTTCTTTCTCATTATCTTTACTTTGTCTCCCACCTCTAATGTTGGATACATCCTTTCCTTCTTTGCCTTTGATGCTACATTCAGATTTGCATCGCCAACAAACAAATCAATCCATCTGAGTCTTCAAATCCTGCACACTCTGAAACTTCAGGATCTTCAGCTTGTAGACAAGCAGCTGCAAGCATCTGGACCCAGGCGCCATGATGCAGGCCTCGTTTGCCCGACTTCTGCAACGCGACAAGCGCTGCACCTGGACCATCTGAGAGACTTCCCCCAGTGCAGTGCTGCAAACTCATGGGGTTCCTCGGTTCCTCGTCCCTTTTCTTTCGGCTTCCAAGGATCGCATGCGAAACCACCTGCCATTGCACAGCAATTCTATACAAATCAGCTGGATGCACATCCCACAAATTTAGGAAGGTCTTCAAGCGGGGATGAGAGTTGTCCGGAAAGGAATCGCCAATGAAAGCCAGCTGGAAACTATCCATGTTGCCCGGAAAAACACCGAGAGTCATATGTGGTCTGTGGAAGCTGCGACCACTATCCTCCCTTGTCAGGAGTAACATGGGTATTGCCTCTGAGATCATTGAGGTGGCAGCAACACGAGCAAGCTCCAGCCAATGTTGGCAAACGCAGCGCTTGAACTTTTTCATGTTCAGTCTAGGGTCCAAATTTTGCAGCAGTGCCAGGTTGAAAAAACTCCACTGCTCGCAAAAATCTGAATCTGCATGAATGAACCATGCTCTCCCTTCTGCAGTAACTGCTGCTGTTTTTGCCCCACGTCAAAGCTTGGTGACTGGGATCGCCAAGCTTCCACATCCACAGATCAGTGAAAAAGCAGCTGCAGATCCAATGGCGATATCGAAAAGTGACCGAACTGTGACGGATCGGCTATTGGTCCAATGGCTGATCCGTCAAGCTTCGGTCACTTTTCGATATCGCCATTGCCTTCGGTGCCGCAGTGCCTCCGGCCATGGCAACGAAGCAGTGAGCACTGGACTGTCGTCAAAATTTAATGAAGCCGCTGGCCAAATCTGGAGAAATGAGCAGGTAATCCATGATATCCATGTGCTTCTTGGGCGTCAAACTAAAGGGTCAGAAAACATGCGGAAAACCGCCACCATCCAGATCATTCTACGAACCCATCTATTACCATTGGGCTTGGAACAGGGCATCACCGAAGAATCTATTCGAAATATATTATTATATATATATACATAATTATACATATACTATATATTAATATATATATATACTATATACTTCATCAATCTTGCAGCCATCGGCGGGCCAAGGACTAAACTTTCTCAGGCAACCTTTGCGCCAGGCATCCCCCGATATCAAGTTGTCGTCCTTCGCAAGCTCCATCCGCATCCATGGCGCCACAAGGATTCGCAAGGATGGGCCAGGAATGGCAGTGAATAACCATGTACATCTATAGTATCTATAGATAGGGGAATTCCTATAGATAGGAAAATCATACATAGATAGGGGGAAATCATCTATATCCATGTTCATAGCTGGGAAAATCATCTTTAGATAGGGATTCCAGCGGGCCATGTGCCAGGTATTCCTGTTGGCAAGTGCACAAAATCGCGTTGCGACCCAGCTATAAAGTGGAATGACCCTTGGAGTACAGACCCACACTTGGTCAGAACCTTTGGCCGCTTCCAGGGTTTTCGATCTCAAATCGCCAACCCTGAAAGTCAAATGCCTAATTTTTAAGCACCATAGTAGTGATAATTCACATTGATCAAGCCTTTAAATGAGTCATTGGGTCAGTGGGAATTTAAAGCCAATCTTTGGATGTGAGTCCTCTACTGTACTCATCTCGCACATGTTCAACGCAGCAGCTTGAACCACAAGTGTGACAAACACTGATTAGGCACCTGATCATCTCCAATCCAGGGGAAAAATCCCCCAATCCGGGATAATCATGGATAATCCGGGTATGATAATCTCAAAATCTGACATCTTCAACAAACCAACCCCAACGTTTTGGGGGACCAAAAGGTCCCTCCACCGCCCCAAATCTCGTGGATCACATCCACACCACGGGCCGCTCACTTTTCTGCAGGCCCAGCTGCCCACCATGGACAAGTTCTACCAGGGATGGGTGGTTCTGCAACGGTTATTCCATCAGGAAATTGGAAATCCTGACGGTGGCACGACCATCTCTTTTGATGGGATGACCCATGGGCCATGGCTGTTGTGCGACATGTCAAGCAGTGTTCCATCCTTATCTGTGACAAGCAGTGTGTCCAAGGATGAGAGGTTTACGCAAAAAAGTCTTGGTGAATGGCCCCCTAGGTTGGTGAAACTGTGGATCAATAAACTTTTGAGATCAAATCATCAAACCTCATTTTATGGATCAGGATCAATCCGGGTTTCGTTTGGGGGACAGGATTTAAACCAACAGTGAATGAGAATTTCAGCCGCACCAACTATAGGAAAATGGCGTAAACCCCATAAGGAATCTCCTAATTTCGGCAGTGTTTTTGGGACACCCCAAAACAACATAAAACTAAATGGGGCACGGTTCATGTTTATCATCATTGGTTATCTGGAAACCAGAGGACTACTCTAGAGCAGGTAAGAAATATGATGGGAAATTGATGGAAACCATTTCACGCATCAGAAATGAACGTAAGATTGACATAAACCAACGCCAATGACATAAACCGAACATAAAACAACGTAAACTCATTGCAAACTGAACGTAAGCTGAACATAAGTTAAACCATTGTCCTTTGAACCATTGCCAATATCCGTAAATCAAGCGGCATTCCATGGTCCTAAAAACCCACAATACGGTCGGCGTGTTACTGATATTCTGCCGAAAAGATACGTTCACCAGGATACGCTCAGGATACGTTCAAGATAGGTTCAGGATACGTTTAGACCTTGTGGGCTCCTAAACATGTTTTACGGACGTAAAACCCGTTTTGCGGTCGTAAAACCCTGAATGCGGCATGTATTTTCCAAAATTCAGTCAAAAAGATGTTTTTCAGGGTGCGTCCAGGATACGTTCTGCGTATGTTTAAACCTTGTTGGTTCCCGTTTTGCGGTCGTAAACCCCGTTTTATGGTCGCAAAACTCGTACACCAAGATATGTTCGGGTTGCGTCCCGGAAATCAATCATATATAAATAATATGAAATATATTATTGAAATATACGTGTGTGATATGAAAGATACATTTGTGATATAAAAGATATGTTTGTGATGTGATACGTATAATGTTACGTAGGGCTCATGACACTTCTCTAGAAACCATCTCCGTAGTGCTCTTGCATATCATGTATCGAATCATCATGTTTGCTGTCATATATTAGAACTATTACTGTAGATCATGGTAATTAAAGCTACTAGTATTGTCATATATTATGGTTACATATTGGTACTGTTGTTATTACTGGTGTCATTTGGTGTTCTTGTCCTTACTTTTAGCATTACTACTATTGCTACCACCACCACCACCACCACCACCATCATCATCATCATCATCATGATCATCATCAGCTGATGTATCATTATCATCGTGATCATGTTGATGGTTATTATAATTATAATGTTATATGATGATAATGATTGTCATAATGATGATAAAAGTGATATCATATCTTTTCCCTTTGATCTTCACTTTTAAAGGCGCCATGGCTATGGCTATGGCCTCCACACTCACCCAGCCGCTCCGCTCCTCACAACGTCAGCAGGTTGAGCTCCTGCGACACCCGGCCGCCGTCGACGTCTTCGTCTGGGATGTTCTCCACCAGATCCGTCTCGACGCGCGGAAGGCTCAGGTAGGCCTCGCAGTGCGACTCGCAGCGCGGTGGCGGCGGTGCGGCGGTGCGGCGGTGCGGGTCTTGGGGGAAGTCTCTTCCGTAGCAAATGTATGGTGAAATGATGGGGAAATGATGGGAAATGTATGGAAATGTCGTCAAAGTCTAAGTTGCAGAGTGGGGATGATTTTTGGTAACTGAATTGCTGGCCTTGACCAAGAGTGAAGAAAAAGGAGATGGAAGAAACTGGAGAGTTGACAACTAGACACGTTGAAGTCACCAGCAAGATGATGGATTCATCCAACCATGACAAGTAAAGAACGAATATAATCAAGTGTAACCAGCAGTTTTCCCATTCTCCCTGAATGAAACAAAACTTCAAAAATCTTCAAAATGTCTCCATCTTTGGACGCTTGAGAACGGAAATCCCAACACCGATGCCCACAACACCAGCGCCACAGGTCCCCCTCTGCTCCAGGTCACATCTACACCGTAGCCCGGTAGCGACACCAAATCCAGTGCGCCCCCGAGGTACTTCGCATGGAGGCGGCTCAGAGGCAAGCCGATGCCGTAACCGAAGCTCAGACCCGTCATGGCTGTGGGGCTGCCGCTGTAGAGATACCTACAAAAAGCCATGGCAAAAAACTACACAAGTTCACAAAAAAAACTCAACATCCCCAGCAAATCCCATCAATTTACATCCCACTTTTTGCTACTTGCAGGAACCTCCATGTCACTGCTAGTTTTTTTGAGTTTTGACCCGCTTGCTCTAAGAGGGCGGTCTTATTTGATTACTTATTAACTATGAACCCGCGGAAAAAAAAATCCTGTGTCCCGCACCCCCAAGTATGGCCATATGATTATGTCCCCAAAAAGTATCCCCATGATATTCACTATTCATTGGTCAGATCCCTCTGTTTCATGCTAAACTCACTGCAACCCAACAGCAGGTTCTAGGTTTCTTTTGAGGGCCAACCAATATGCGCACCACTCCCCAGAGATTGAAACCCAACAGTCACGGCTGTTGGGAACTTCGGCGAAAAACCAGCACCCTTCCGCACTTTAGATAAATAAAACCTCCATGTTTTCCCAATTAATGGATACTTGAACATGATTAAACATGCTTCAACCACCATTTTCCCATATCTTCCCCACCTAAAATTCTCCCAAGGCACGACCAAATGCGGCTGCCCACGTGCCGCGGGATTCCATGCGCCAGGTCGCTAATGCGGATCACCACGTGACGCACGTCCGCACAGACCACCAGGTTAATGGGCATCTGCTGCAGTTCCGCCTGCGTCTTCGCCTCGGAAAAAACCGCCGAGGAATTTTCAGGGATGGTGTCCGGACATCTTTTTGTTTCAGTCCCCATTTCTTTCGAAACATTGGAGAAAATCGGGAGTTCAGCTAAATTTGACCATGCCATTCGGTTTTTTTGTGGCCTTTTTTTGGATGTCACCATCAAACATGGAATCTTCATGCGATTTGACCAAAAATGGAATTGAACCATGAAAATTCGGGGAAGTGGATGGGATCTGACCGATGTTCTGTGGTGTATTTACCACTCATATAATGCCAAGTATCAAATTGTTGGGTGTATAAACCAACCACAATGGGGATATAGTGCCGAAAGAAAATTATTGGGATATCATAGCATGATATATATATATATGTATGTATGCATGAATGCATGCATGTATCTATCTATCTATCTATCTATCTATCTATCTATGTATCTATCTATCTATCTATCTATCTATCTATCTATGTATCTATCTATGTATCTATGAATCTATGTATGTAAGTACGTACGTACGTACGTCTGTATGTATGCAGGATATTTATATATAGTAATATATGTGATATTTCAAACACCTGATGGAAAATCTGCATTTTTTCCAAGCTTGGTGATCATGGTTGGATCCCCACTTGAAGTATGATACTGGGGAGGTGGGGTGGGTGATACCCCAACCTTGGATGATTTCCAAATACTTTTCGCTCCAAGTGGATATCATCCATATTTTTTAACTGGATCATAATTTTAACTGGATTATATGATTATGATCCATAGTTTTAATTAATGTTTTGCACATAGAACTGGATCATAATCATTCATAATCCATACCAAATCCATACCACATAGTCTTCGGGCTACAGCCCCAGGGAGCCCCTGGCTTTATCGTCATCTTCCCTGAAAAATCCGCGCAACTGGAGATGATCATCGGAGGTTTCTCACTGGGGAAATTTTTACAGTGATCCTTTCATAGATATGATCCGCATTGATATGCGCCACAGGCAAAAAAAAATATCGGAACGATCCACAAATAACATCAAATTACTGGGAATAGTGCATAAATAACTAGATAGCTGGATAATCATCCAGCAAAAATAACTAGATCCATTAAATAACATCCATAAATAACTGGATAATCATCCACCATAATCCAGCTTGAATTATAAAAAATGGGCGCCACCTATGGTCACTTCGGAGTTCCGGGAGTTCTGGGATTCCCTCGGAGTTCTTACGTTTGCAAATCTACAGCTACAATGACTCATTTTTTCATGACCAACGATCATCCCAAGAGTTTCCCTTAGAATTCCCATGATATTCCCATGATATTCCCATGATATTCCCATGATATTCCCATGATATTCCCATGATAATGATATTCCCATGATAATCCCATGATATTCCCATGATATTCCCATGATAATCCCATGATATTCCCATGATATTCCCATGATAATCCCATGATATTCCCATGATATTCCCATGATATCCCATCCCATGATATTCCCATGATAATCCCATGATATTCCCATGATATTCCCATGATAATCCCATGATATTCCCATGATATTCCCATGATATTCCCATGATATTCCCATGATAATCCCATGATATTCCCATGATATTCCCATGATATTCCCATGATAATCCCATGATATTCCCATGATATCCCATGATATTCCCATGATATTCCCATGATAATCCCATGATATTCCCATGATATTCCCATGATATTCCCATGATATTCCCATGATATTCCCATGATATTCCCATGATAATCCCATGATATTCCCATGATATTCCCATGATATTCCCATGATATTCCCATGATATTCCCATTATCATCCCAATCAAAGCACCACAAAAACCAAACATTGCCCCAGTGGCCAGTTCCAAGCTGGCTTGGCAGCTGTTCTTCAACAGCTCTCGAACCACGTGCATCAAAATGCCTCGAACAAAATTGATAAAAATGGTTGAAGTGGGTTGAAAAACAGAACATATGGGATTATGATGGATTATGGAGATAAAAACACAGAAAAAACGCTTGGATCAAAAAGAGTTTAAGTCAATCATCCAAGAAATCCAAGAAATCCAACATTCAGCTGCTGATTGTTGGATACATACATCTCTCAAACCATCTTACCACCCCAACTTCGGAAAAAAAAAAGATTATCAAATAATTGATTTTTAAAAAATGATACAGTAGTTCATTATATATATATAGCTATAATAATGAATAGCAATAACCAACCAAATTCTTCATCAAAATATGCTGCGAATATGTTTAAAAACAACATCCTTCCAACCCGCAACTAGCGCCTGGGATGTACGAGAAGCGTGGCACCTGATCTTCATTCACCGCTCCACTGGAGCTATAGGCACTCACGTGCACTGTGGGCACACGGCCCTGCGAGGTCGCACAGCGACGTTGCCTCAATGGAAAGATGTTTCAATGGATTGGTTTGTTGGGAAAACTCGAAACCGGAAAGCATCGATTTTCCCATCAAGATCATGGGGCTTTCCGGGCTAAATGTTTTCCCTTAAACCAATCCATTGAATGCTGAGGATGTTGGGAAAAATTCTTCGAAATCTGGGTGAGTTACTTTGAAATTAATTCAACAACCTGAAAAAAAAAAAGTGATTCTGTGGGATTTCTCTTTTGTCTAACAACAGGGTATCTCGATTTGTTAACCACCCGTTTCCCTACTAACATTGCCATGGCACATGAATTGGGGGTATACCGGTATAATTTATTCGGATGTGCATCAGGCTAAATTTCCTCATTTAGCCGTGAAAATTAGGGATTTCTCCATATTCACCTCATGAAAATGAGGCATTTCTCCATATTCATCCCCTTAAAATCGGACGTCACACTTGACACTGTCCGTATTTGTCCCATGCAACGTGGATTTCACTCGGCACGCGGCCCATCTCGGCCCAAGGCCTCCCAGTACCGAGAGGCACTTCCTCCGCAGCCTTTCTACAAATGTCCAAGGCATCGCACTGATTCACGATGGAAGTAATGTGCGAATCATGGTTGGTGCAGGCCAAATATTGACCTCAACAGTTGACCAAGGTCAGGGGGCCTGGTCACTTGGTCACTTCTGGTCACTTTTTTTTGGGGCGAAAAAACTCGATGAATCCAGCTAAGACACCCATCAGCATGTTACACCCCAATCGGCTGAGGAGAAAGTCGTCCAAGAATTTGTTCAGCTCAAGGGAAAAGGGATCCGTAAAACCTCAAACCACTCACCGCAACATCGGAAGAAGATCGGAATAAGGCTGGAAGGACTATTCTGGCAAGGGGGTTGTAGTTGATTCTCTGCACTGTTCATGGTGAGCTAAGCCATTTAAAGGTGGGATCATTCGAGCCATTCAAAAAAATCCTATCCCATCAAATGAAAGACTACGTGGTAAACAGGCATCACATTCTGGGTCATAGTTTTTTGATCCCACTAAACCGCTGGTATTACCAATCAACAGTGGTATTTTTTGATGGCTCATCTGAGCAACTACACTAGATGCTTCGTACTAAACAGGAGCAAACTCAATGGAGCGCTGTCAAAAAACACTTTGAAACTCCCCGAAGGTGGTGAACAAGGATTCACAGGTCATGGGATGTCATGGGTCATGATACCCGCCAATGAATAAATGTGTGTATATACATACCATATATATATATATGGGTGTATATATATATACATATATATATATATTTGTTTATCGATATCGATATATAAAGGGTTTAAAGGGTTGCTTTCAGACCACTATAAGTTTCAACCAGCAGTGGGAATTTTGAAATTGTTCAATGGTCCCGCATGTCTTCCAAGGACAGGAAGATCTTATCGTAGAATCATCAGAGAATGTTTCGCTTCATCAAAAAAATTCCAATAGATCCTTGGAACGTCCTCTGTTTGGGATATAACAAACGATGAGAACTGCCATGCCTTGCTGGTTTTGAGCACTTTGGCCCACATGGACATCACTCGAATTCATCTTGTTGGAGCCCAACTTCAGGTCGTCAGTGGATGGTTAATTCGCTGGTTTTTTGTCCCCAAGTTACCCCAAAACACGGCAGGTTTTCTCGAAACCCTGATGGGCTGCACGGTCTGCATCATGAATTGGATCTATTTTGGGATCCCAAATTGACAAAGTATTTCAGGAGGAAGATTCACTTCCCCCTGTGGATCACAGCTAGCAATAAAACAGCTAGATATCGGCGACAACAGAACCAAGTCGTGGCCACTAAGTCAACCTGGAAAATCTCCTGCTTCGATGACTACAAAAAATCCCATCCCCCGTATTTTTCAACGGCCCTAAATAGGCCCGAACATGTCTAAGCGCCCTCCTAAACCATGGTTTCTGGGTGGTGTTTATGGTGTTACTATGTGTTACTAGGGGGAAGGGATTGTATCATATATATATATCCTATTATGGATATATGTTATATAATATATATATATATGTTATATATATAATATATAATATATATATATATATGGTGTTACTATGTGTTACTATGTGTTACTATGTGTTACCATATATATACATATATATATATGTGTGTGTATCCCATCCGTTCCCATTAAAAGGCTGACATGTTTGTCCCAAGTTGTGTCTCGACCCAGTGGCTGGTGCTGTTGCCACGCATCTTTTGCGCCGCTTGCATCAACAGAAACCTGGCGGCTGATGGCGCGATCCAATTGGACTTGTCTCATCCCATTTGGTGGCAAAAAATAAAGATATCATTTGGCCTCTTTAGCAATCAAATATGTCACATGTGTATGTGTATATTTTGTATATATATATATGTGCATATGAATTTGTGTGTATATATATATACACATTATAATCATCCGCTTTGAGCAAAAATGAAAATAAAAATATGACTGAAAGCAGCGAGCAGAAGCTTAGTTTTCTTGTCATTCTGCTGCACTTCCTGTACCACGGGCCTAAAGGCCTCCACCCTCTCCCACTGGCTCCTGAACTCAGGGACCAAAGAAGTGAAGATGTGTGTTTTTCACAGCAACCTCCCCACAAAAAAATGGTAAACCTGTTCTCTTCTACATCTTTTCGGGGGTTGCTGTAGGTCAGTCTGGTAAAACGGAATCCACCCAAATGCTCACACCATGCAATAGCTATGGCTTAATGTTTATGCCTTCATCAATCATTGGTTGTTTAGCTAGTGACCCATCACCAAATCGGTTCAATGAGAGGTTTCTCTGCCAGATTTACGAATTGAGCCAACACCAGATGGGAGCATTTTAGGAAGCCCCAAGTGGATCATGAATGGAGAAGGTCAACAGTTTCTCCCCTGCAACCCTACCACTTAGGAAGTCAAAAAATCACCTTGCATTGGATTTGTGCCAAAAAATATGGTATTTGCAAATCCAATGATTTAAAAGAGACTCTTTCCTTTGAAACTGGCCGTCTCCATCTCGTCCTCGGTTGCTCTTGGAAGGCCTGCCCCAGGGCCAAAATCACAGGATCTGGAGATAAACATTGAAAAAGAATATTATACATATTGTATATATATATACACACACATTTTTTTAAGAAATGAGAAAAAAAAAACAATTTTGAATCTGCCTAAACTGGTTTCTCACAACCGGGGTTTGTCCCAAAATGAGTTATACCCGAAGACTACATGGAAGAATATACTTGATCATCCTTGCAATTGGTGGTGCCCCTTTTTCAAACAAAACCAATGAGCCGTAAAGAATAACCCCATCTCATCTCATTGTACTGGTTGGTCAACAGTGTTAGTCAACAGGTATTTCCTACGAAATGGGTAGCCCATGATTCCGCTGTTCTTAACCAGGTAGGTTCATAAACCCTTATTTCATAACCAATCAACAGGAGTGTTTTTTTGTTTTTTCTGAAGTTGGGCTCTCCCAAAGTTTGCTAGTTTACAATGGCCATGAATTGAGGGTAAAATTCATCCAGTTTCAGACACACCAAATTTATATCGTGAAAAATATTCTGAAATAATCTGTGCTATGACTATATTTAAGTACTATCACTTACTATGTACTATATAGTACTATATTATTGTACATATCTGTACATAAATATAGTCATAGTACAATAATAATTATGTTTATTTAAATCTGCTATACATATCTTGGCACATTCCCACGGTCCCACGGTTAAAAAACATCTCAAAACTCTCCAGCCTGGAAGGCGGCCAGCTGAAGGTGATGAACCGCCACCAGCTCCTCAAAGTTCTGCCAGGGCATTGGAAGCTGTTCCTCGGGCGGCCGTCCATGTCTCTGTAGAAGTGAACAAAAATGGGAGATCATCATGATGAAATAAATGATGAAAGGTTTACGCCTTGAAAAAAAAAATGTTCAAAATATCGAAACAAAACATGGTATTTATATAACTGTGTTTAACCAAGAAAAAATGGGAAGAGCGGGAAAGTGTAAATGATGATCGTTACGAATTCTACGCAAAACAACAAAAATGGTTACCATGTGTCGCCACTTAGCAAATCCGAGAAGTTGCGGCTAATCAACCAAAACGTTTATGTCAGCTAAAATGATTGTGTATTTCTAACGAGGTAACATCATTAGCCAAGAGCAAGGACAATCTAAGAGACAGCCATTGGGTGCCAAAACAGTGGTTGGGTTAAAATTTGAAAGGGTCCGGAATTGTTTTGGGAATTATTTTATTCCGTTTTGGGCATTTTTTTGGATATGCGAAGAAAACACGTGCAGTGCAGCTGCGGTTCTTTTGAGCCATAAAAGGGCCTGAGTTTGGTGGATAGTTTATCCAAACCTGAGTGAAACTGCCATGGAGTCTGTATTGATTTGTGCGTGTCATCCTTGTGCAGAATCACAGTGAAATCACATGTAGTCACAGGTATGAGCACATCCAGAAAATTCTCGCACTCCTCCTCAGAAATTTGAGTAGGACTTGAATTTCTGCTGTTGCATTTTCCCGTGCTCATATTGCTCTCAATCCTCTGTTCCTTCTGGAGTCGAGGACATTTGACGTTGCTTCCATTTGGAATGCAAAAAAAAACTCTTCGGGTTGTGGCATTGCCCGGTATGCCCATCGGGTTTCGGCATTGCCCGGTATGCCTATGTAGCTCGAACCATTGGTTGACTTGGTTGTCAACAAATCATCCAAGCACCATTGCAAATTGAAACTTCAAACATAGGAATTGAGATTCTCTGCGAACTCCCTATAGAGCTCTGAAACCATTCTGTCACCTCTGTTGTTTGCTCGTCTGCGCAATCGCTGGAATGTCGATTGCACTCTTTGTGCCAGATCCATTGTAAGGGTTGTGCTGGCACCTGCTGAATCCAGAACTGCTTGAATTGTAACGTTGATCTCGCCTGCGTCCTCCCACATCTCATTGGCCAATGCTGTGTTCAATTGGCCTTTCAAGTGGTGGACCAATCGCGTGAGATGGCCTTCTCTTGTATCTGGATTTGCATCCCCCATGTCATCATCTGTTGTAGGGGATTCTTCTTCTCCACCTTCACCTTCAACCATTGGAGTATCCCTCAAGGTCGTTGAGGGACCTGCAGTAGCTGGATCTGTTGTAGAGCTCGAAGCTGTTGGTCGAGTCAAACCTGAGCTGGATGCAGCATTTGGATGTGACACTGGTGGGTCAGTCACATCTGGTTCACGCTGCCGCATTCGAAAAAGAACACCGTTAGCACGTTCTTGTGTGAACATGCTATCCCTCTGTTGTCGATCCATGTTGGTGTAGCGAACGAATCCGCCATAGTTCACCAAACCATCTCTAACACAGTCGATGTACTCTTCCAGCATGTTGACTTCTCCATCTGTCCTCTCAACGAAGGCGTTGAACTGCCTTACCAGTTGATCATGATTTGTCCTCTCTGTGTTGATATCTTCTCTGTTTCGCCACATGTAGGTGTCACCCTGTGCAAGCTGTAGCTCGTTGTTGGTGAATCTTTCATTGATTCTCCTCCAAAGCCAAAACGCTGTAAAAGCAAAAACAATCCACAGCATGAAAAGTAAGATCACGAAAATCCAAATCCATGTTGTTTCAGCACCACCATTTCCAGCATCCAAAGCACATTGTTGCTCCTCCTGAGACATAGCGTTTGCGCCAGATGGCCCAAGGCCCAACATCAAACTCACTCGGAGGATTGCCTTGGCTACTTTTGAGGTGCTCTTTGCTGTTTCGTATTGGCCTTGGATTTCGGCCAGCTCGCTTTCACCCACAATTTCACCTGACTCCACGTAGATCATGCCTGCTTCTGACATCAAACCAAAAAGTCTCTTCCTTGACAAGGCTTTTGTGCCTATGTCGCTCACATTCAGGCTTGTTGGCACCTGAATGAGTTCAACTTCTTTGTCTTTCACCTTGCTTTGAACCCAAAGGATCTTTCCAGAGAGATGTCGTATTTTTCCACAGCCTTGCCTCGATACAAGCTGTCGGGCGCTTGAGCTGTCAGTGTAGTGCACCTGGAGAATCTGCACGTTCAGCATGAACTCCAGAATTCTTCGAATGTAAATGGCGTCGCACATGCCACTGACAATGCTGTGTAATTCACTTTCACAGGAGCTGAGGGCGATGACTCGTTGAGTCCTTGCTGCACCAAAGATGTAGGATCCGTTGAGAAAATGAACACTGCAGGAAGTTGACTTCCTGTGGCCTTTATTGGAGGCCCAATCAGCATCAGAGTATGTTTCCAGGATCCAGAATTTGTCAACGCAAGTTTTCCATTTGCCTTGCCCTGCAACTGGAGCATGTAGACTGATTCCCAACTCTCCTGTTGTACGAAGATATCCAACCATCTTGCGTAGGTGCTGCAACGCATTCAGTGTTGGTCTTGCCATCCGACTTGCAAGCTCCTGGATAGTGAAAACAAGGTCGGGGCGGTCTCGTCCCAAGTAAAGGCAACTTCCAACCACTGAGCGATACCAACCAGCATCTGTTTGAGAAAGGGGCTGCGAGACATCTTCCAGTTGGATACTTGAGTCACATGGAATGGTTTGATTTTTCACCTTCCCAAAGTGGGTCTCGAACGTTTCCACAATGCTTTTGACATCAGTTCCTGGCACCACCATGATCCCTGTTGTTGTTGCAACAAACTTCTTCTTCAAAAACGTAATTGAGCTTCCAACCTCACCCAACGCGGACCAACTCAGTGTAAATTGTTCCTGGCAGCATGGCAAAAACTTCTTGTGGAAAAAATCTGAGCTGCCACAATAAAGCACATCGTCCACGTGGATCAAAAGAGTTGCTTCTGGAACCCTTGCTACACACGGTTGCTCAATGCAAAATTCAAACTGTAGTTCGTTGCACAAAAAATCTCTGAAATGCCAGTACGATGATCTTGATCCTTGTCTCTGTCCAGGCAAGTTGCGGCAAATGACATATTTTTGACCTTGCAGCTCAACTTCGATTGGGTTGTCCTGTGGGACTTGTAAGAAAGCATCTTTGATGTCGAGGGCTGCCAAGAGGGGTTGATACTGGTTTCCACCCTCTTTGGCCTCCTGCTGAAGCTGAAGGAATCGCAGTGGCAACAGGCTGGTTGTGTGAGCACCTGTCGCGGGACTATAGGTGTCATCCCGTCTGTCCACTGCAAATTCTCGTGCCACAAAACGGCTTCTGCGCATCCACCGCATTCTTGAATTGCCTCCTTCATCCACATAGAGTTTCACACGCCAATCTCTCACAAACTTCGTTGTCAGTGATCCGAGCACATTGTCATTGTACTCCTCCTTCCTGACAAGAACTTTCATCTCCAATAGGCGGCTAATCTCTACCTGGTCTGCCAACTGTTCAATCCAATCGTCAGGTGAGCATGGAGTCACCTTCAAGTCACCATCATGCCAAAGAGCTTCTGGTATGCCTGCAAAGTAGAGCTCTTCCTCATCTTTCCACAAATCATCCATCTCATCCTTGTCGTTGCGCTTGCATCCATCATCTTGAAACTCTGTGTCATAGTTGTCCAACGTGTGATACGTCTCTTCACCAAAGCTGATTGCTCTTACCATGTTGGCATGTTCCACAGAGAGAGCGTTGATCCTCTGCTTCTTTGGTTCATCCACCTTTGCACGTTTTGTTTCAAGTTCATCTCCTTCAGGGCCATGAGAACGGGTTGTCGCAGAATGTCTTGGACTGCCACCTACTGAAACTGGAAAGTCTTGGGGCGTCACAGGAGCTGTCAAACCTGGATCCATTGGCGCCTGAAGTGGCGCTGGAGCACTTGAAGAGGGCATAGAAGTGTCACCAACTTCTGGTGCTGGTGTTGCAGGAGCGGGATGCTTTGCCATCTCCTCCTGAACTTCAATCTCATCTGCAAACTTCACCTCATGTTGCACGTTCTGAGGTCTGTCATGTTTTGCCATTGAACTTGATTCTTGCTCTTCCTTGCGCTCCTCAACTGCCTTCTGCTTGACTGCTTCTGCTTCCTCATCTACAAGTTTTGAAGGTTCAATTGAACCAGCTGGGGGTGTAAATGTCACTGCCCGTGGACCAGGAGGTTTACGCTTTGTAGGCACCACACGGCCTCCAAATCCAACCTTGTACTGCCAAGAAAAGAGGTTAAACTGAAGGTAGTAGTTGAGGTGTGTCCTCCAGTCTGTTTTGATCCTTCTCACCGATCTTGTCAAAACCAAAGAACTTCCATTGAACAGTAAAAATGAATCCTGGTTTTCCACCTTTCCAATGAAAATCATTCTCTCCCAGCGCGCGTTCCCTTTGAGAGGGGACCTGACAAATCCAAAAACCGGCTCTGCAAACTCGCAAACTTGGCCCGTGTAGGCCTTTCCATAGACCAGTTCATAGCTTGTTGTGCCTTTGTATGGATTGTACCTGTTGATTATCCATGAAGCATGCCTGAGACACCAAGACCAAAGTGCATGTCCAGTCCCAAATGATACCTTCAAACGGTCTTGAAGAGCACGCATCAGACTGCAAGCTACACCACGGATTCTTTGAACTGCGTTTTCTGCCAAACCATTGCCGTGAGTGTATGCAGCTGGGGTCTCAAACTTTGTTTCCAACCCCATCTGTTGCCTGGCTTGGACAGTAAGTTTTGCCACCTGCACAATGGTGGGTTCATTGTCACAACGCAACTGGATACTGCTGTAGCCCAAAGTCGATGTAAAAGCAATCAACTCCTTGGTCAACAAGTCGAACTGAGCTTTTGAACTCAATGGCACCACTCCCAAATAACCTGTTTTGTTGTCAATCATCACCATGGCAACCAGAGTTTCTTCCTCTTTGACGTTTTCACCTGCCTTGGTGTAGAAGAAATCGAAGGAAATCACTGGGCAATCACCTTCTGAAGCCATGCCATCCCTGTGGTGGGCATCTGCCCTTGCACGATGAGCCACACATGATTGACACCAGGGCTCATATGGAACATGGGTCAAGCGATGTTGAGCTTGAATGGCCTCATCTGGGGGCTCTGCCAAAGTTGGAGAACGTGGCACCCTGATTTCAGCATTGAGAGCGTCCCTTGAAGCATTCATCACAGTTTGCATCTGAAGCTTCTGCTGATGCTCCATCAAACGCTTGAAACACTTTGCTTTGCTTCCTGAACTCGAAATACCATATGTTGTACAAGCAGCACGCAAATTGGCCAATGCACTGTTGGTTGTAAGCATCTCACCGCTAACAAGAATTGAGTCCTCTTTCTGGGGCTCCACAACAACACGTCCTTCTGCAATGTCTTGGCCTTGAACTCCATCTTGCTGCTGTGCATCAACTTCAATGTCAATGCCTTGGATATCATCCTCAGGAGCAAGCAAAGCACCATCGGGTTCATCGTCAAACCTTTCTGCGTTCTCATTCACAGGGACATCTTCTTCAAAATGAAAACCCATCAAATCAGGATGTTTCTCTCCAGTCGTGACAATGGTGATGATACTGCGTTGTCCTTCAAGTTCATGAAACGGCGCGTCCAACTGTACCAACATGCTCAAAGGTTCATTGAGTTCAAGCAAGCACCACTTGGAATTATCATCTTTCACAAGAGTTGTTCTGTGCTGAGGACCCTGCAAATCTGGAAACGCCAGAGTTGGATCCTGAAAGATCGAGCCACGGTGCCTTCCAACAATGTATCCTGACATGTTGATTGACCATCCAACTGGGCTTTGAACCAAGCTATCTGTAACGCTTGCATGCACCGCTCTAACAGCTTCTGGTACGTTTTCACAAGGTTCAGAGCTAAGAACTCTTATGTGGCCCATGACAACCATTGACCTGTTCTGCAGCTGAAGCGGGATTTCTGTGTTGCTGGCAGGATGGACAAGAGTCTGAGAGGTTCCATCTATACCAAATCCCTGTTCAAGCAATCTACCAAAGCACAAAATTGGTTGATGAACTCTGGATGAAATTGCAACCTTTTCTCTCAAAACAACTGTCTTGCCTGTGCACGTTCCAAGTTTCACTTCAACAATTCGAGTGCCCTGCAGTGGAATGGGTCGTCCTTGAGCATCACATAGTTTCCCAGTGGATGTTTCTGCTGGGATCCCTGCTGAAAGCATCGATGAAGGAAAAACACTTGCATCGGCACCTGAGTCCAACAAAATGGCCTGAGGTTGATCGTCCTCATCAAGCTCCTCCACAACTGCGCAAACATTCCCTGTCAGTTCCTCATCAGAGTCACCAATGTAGAAATGAATTGTACGCACACTGCCGCTACCAAATGCACTTCCAGTCAAATCAAACACCATTTCATCACAATTGTTTTCAACAATTCTTGCAACACGATGTTGAACTGGCTGAGAAGCTTGTTGAAACTGAGCTTGAGGCACCTGGTTTGAAACGCTAGTCAAATGAGTGAAACTGGCACCAGCTGACGACGATGGGGACCCTTGAACCACTGACTGTTGTGCCACTGTTGCATCACCAGGCTGAGAGTTTGAGCCTTGGGGCATTGAACGCACTTGTTGATTTTGCCAACAGTCCTTTGAGTAGTGGCCATACTTACCGCATGTAAAGCACTGCTTGTCTGATTTTCCCTTGCCCTTGGATCGATTGTCACCTTTGCTTTTGCCTTTGTCTGTTCCTTTCTTGGATTTGCCTTTCTGGCCATCCTTTGACTTGCCTTTTCCCTTATCACTTTTGCCCTTGGAAGACCCTTTGTCGTTCTTCCCTTTTCCTTTACCTTTCTTGCCATACTGGTTCCAGCCTTTTCCATCTATGCGGTCAACCTCCATGGGCACCAAGTCATCACTGCCAGAAACCAAATTGCTCCAACGCTGTTGTGACCTGTCCCATTTGAGGCATTGTTCACGGAGTGTTTTGTAGGTCATATCTTCTTGGGCTCCAAGGTTGAGGTAAGTTTTCAACTGACCTGACACGCATTTCAGTAAAATTGCAGCCTTCATAGTGTCCTGGATTTCCATGCCAGAACGTCGGCTTTCCTCAAACACTTCCTCCAATTTCAACAACTGGGGTTGTAAAGGAACACCCATCTGAAATGCTGGCCATGAAGTTGCAGCTGTAAGAAGGGCTAGTCCACGTGTGTTGGAACTGGGCCTCAACGTCAGGATCATCTGGCGCAAGGCTTCATATCCATCTGCAGCTCCAACGCTTTTCACCAGACTCAGAGCTTTCCCACGGACCAGTGAAGCTAATAGCCCATACAGCTTTGAGCTTCTCAACCTCGTTTCTGAGCTAGCTGTGCTCATGTCAAATCCCTTTGCAGGATCATCAAAAAGTTTCTTTAACTCCTCATCATAGTTGGGGTCTATGGCTGAAAGAAATTGACAAAGTTGCCAACTCCAGTCTCTGAACGCCTTGATCTCCTGTTCCACTGACGCAAATTCAAACAGTGGTGGCTTATTGATGAGCTTTGACCAGTCGATTGTTGCACCTGAGCTTGTCGACGCAGATCCACCTGAAGTCTTCTGCGCCTGCGCAAGTTGTTTTGCAGCATCACCAGCTGCCTTTGTGGCCTCTGCGACCTGTAACAAGGCCGTTTGAAGCATGCCTGGGTCCACTCCAGACATTTCGACTGTCTTCGAAGTTCACCTTCGACCACCTGTTGTAAATTGCACCTGAAACTAAGCTAAAACTGAAAACCAGTTGTAAAAGGGAATATCACGCAAGCCAATCTGTGTCACCTGTCGGATTGTCCAGCCCAAAGAATGTGTTCCACCAGTCAGAGAAGTATATTGCAGAAATTGTACGAGCTTTGCTCTGTCCAACCACAAATGCAGTCCTCCTCCAAACCAAATGTATATCACACCCTAGCAGCCAGATCCAAATTGTTTCCACCTCCAATCAGCAAAGAAAAGCGTGAGCCACTCCGGGCTCCGCTACCATGCGAAGAAAACACGTGCAGTGCAGCTGCGGTTCTTTTGAGCCATAAAAGGGCCTGAGTTTGGTGGATAGTTTATCCAAACCTGAGTGAAACTGCCATGGAGTCTGTATTGATTTGTGCGTGTCATCCTTGTGCAGAATCACAGTGAAATCACATGTAGTCACAGGTATGAGCACATCCAGAAAATTCTCGCAGGATATGCTTTTCTGCCCGTTTTCCTTGCTATTTGCAGCATTTTGGAGTTCGAAGCTGCCATTTCAACTGTCTTGCAATATGTTGGAGTTGGAACCTTTATTTTCCATAGATTTTGCAACAATTTGGTGGAATTTGTAACATTTTGGAGCGGAAGCTACCGTTTCAAGGGTATTTGCAGCATTTTTGAGTTCGAACCTCATGTTCGATGGAATTTGTAACATTTTGGTGCTGGAACTGTTTCTGTTACATGGTAGTTTGCAACTAGGGTTCATTTAGGGTTAGTTTAGGGGTTTTGTTCAGGTTTTGTTTGGGGCTTATTTAGGTTTTTTTGAAGGGTTAGTTTAGGCTATTTTTAGGGTCTATTTAGGTTTGGTTTAAGAGAAGCAGAAAAGCAGGTAAGCAAAGAAGCAGGGAAAAGCAGAAAGCAGAGAAGCAGAGAAGCTGGAAAGGCGGAAAAGCAGGGAAAGGCAGAAAAGCGGAGAGGCAGCACAACGGGTAAGCTGAGAAGCGAAGAAGCAAAGAAGCAGAGAAACACAAAAGTGGAGAAGCAGAGAAGCAAAGAACTACAAAAGCGGAGAAACACGGAAAAGTAGAAAGAAAGAAGCAGAACAGCAAAGAAGCAGGGAAACAGAATCCAAAACAAATGCCCAAAACGGAAAAAAAATAATTCCCAAAAAAAATAAGCCTCCAATTTTTTTTTGCTAATTACGACCAACGCTCTATCCACATCCTGAAATTCGATCCTGTCATCAAACAGAAAACGCTGGAACTTTGAGATTTCGTGATTTCATCGGCGAAGCGTCGGCGACCTTTCCGAACAGATCCCCGATCTTCCGTTGCCCGATTTCCGAAGCCTCTTACAACGCTTGGCAAAAGTTGCGCGAATTTTGCATGAAAAACATTGAAAACCCACATAAAATCTATCCCAACCAAAAAATGTGGATATATTTGTACCCCTGTCCTTGTCAATACGCACCATCACAACGGTTTGACTCTTGCCAAAAAATACAACTATCATGACGTCCGTAAACTCTTGCTAGCTCCTTGGTTCAACAACAAATAATGGGAAATATGGACAAAATTCCACAATTGCAAATCCTTCCAAAAACACCAGGCAAGATCATCACCCGTCCAACTTCATCAAGTTTCAATGTTGCGAATGCGTTCAGCGTAGCGAACGGGCATCTCTTTGCACAGAAATTCTGCCAGCTGAACGGGTTCCGCAAATTCGCCCAGCCAACTTCGAATACTCACCTGGAAGAAACCGACATGTGGAACCGCAACTACCAGAAATCACCATTGGTTGTTTTCCTTGGAACTTTCCTAAATCATGGGGTTCCAAATCATAAATTACCGTGACTTTGTATTGAAACCCATGGTGATTTGGGGATCCATTTCAAGAAACCCCATATGAAGTAGGGCTCAGAATCCCTACATAACAGATGCTTTGGAACTGGGGAACCACCATTTATATCTGGTTGTTTGATGTTGTTTGGGGTTTCAAACGTCAAAATGCGACGCCGCAAATGTGGTGGAAGGCACAGGTGTGGGTTTCATGGCCGCATATTCCGCCACGCGTTGCGCAAGGTCGCAGAACCATCTCCTGCCGGGCCGGCCAAGGTGATGCCATGTTGGCATCCCGGGACTCAAAGAAAACTGAAATGTTGGTACCTTATTTCATTTGCATGTTATTTTCCATTTTTTCGATGCACCAACGGCTGCTGGCCCTTGGATAAGTGATGATCTGAAGGTGTTTTTTTGAAAAATCCAACATGTTGACTACTTTTGAACCACATTTAATCAGGTTGAAATCTGCAAATGCCACAGGCAAATTTTTGGTCGCTGGAGCCGATGACCGGCAATTTGTGACAGGCCATCTGTCTGATGGATTGTAAGGAAAGGAATCACATCATTTCACGTTGCAATAAATGTTGAAATATTTACAAGGACTGGTACAACAGCATCCCGAATTTCGGTCCAAAAAATATTGATGAGTGACATATTTTGATATTTTTTGGTATTTTTGTCGAAACTTGTGTGGGAAACCACAAACATGGATTGGTTTTTAATCGGAAAAAAACGTGTTTGCATTTTTTGTTTTTTTGTGACATAAATTCAATGGTGAAAAAAATTGCCTCAACAACGTGTGCACCGGGCATTTTCAAAACATTGGCCAAAATGTGAAAGAACGGCGGGCAGTGCGCAGTCTTTTGTGCCGATAAGAACCGATAAGGCCTCAGGAGATGCTTTTCGGACCGAACATAGGCAGGAACCCGACCTTTTTTCCCTTGATTCTCCACCCATGGCAGAAAGATCCAGATCCCCACTAGCTGGGATAGGACAAACAGCGCTTGAACGCAAAGAAGAAGAAGAGGTGCCCCATGAAATCCTTTTAGAGGCCCAAACATTCAAAGCACCCCAAGAACAAGTACACGAAAACACGGCCAGACTTAACAGCGTGGACTGGGTTGCAACCCAAACAGCATCACTAGTTCATCGAGATCAAGAACTACAAGCCTCCAAACAGTTTCTCCTGATGGGATGGCCCAAGATTGACGAAAAAGAAAGGGAGAAGGAAATCAAACGGATGGCCAACTACTACGGACTCATGAACAAGTACCAGGGGAGTATCACTTTGAAGACCAAGAACGGCTTAGCTCACTTCACCATAGTTGATATGTGGGACAAGGAAGCCAGGAACGAGTTCTTGCAGCACATCAAACGGGACCCCCATCAAGTACAAGGCAACACCATTGTAGGCAGACCACAAATTCCTCGATACCGTCGTGAACAAGATGCCCCGATGAAATGCGCAATGAAGACCTTGGCCAACATTATAGGAGACAACCCCAAATTCAGCCCGACCTGGGAGATCCAAGCCCTATGGCATGATGAATGGCTACTCGCCGTGAACACCAACGACAAGGACATCACAAAAGTTCAGCTCTATGTGCCGGATCACGTGAAAGCAGAGTTTGAAACTAAATTTCAAGAAGACTGGTCGGCATGGAAAGCCCCCGGTTCTAGCAAGGACAGCCGCCCCCAGAGGCACCTTCAGGTCCAGATCTACGCCCTGACCGACGAAGTCAAAAACAACCTGGACGCGCGATATGCAGCTCTCAAAAACGCCAAGGTGACCAAAAACCAGGACGTTGACATGGAGGATTCTGAGGCCCCTTCCCGCGCCCACTCTGCCAAAGGCGGAGGAAAGCGCCGTTGACAAACGGACAAAACACCAAGCACACAATATCAGGACCCACGCCAGGCCCACCCTATAAAAACGACCATTTCTTTCACGACCATTTCTCCACACCTGCCACAGCACCGCCCAGAAGGTAAGCCGGGCGAACCGCGGGACACAAGATTCCCAGATCAAAATACGACCACTTCTTACGACCATTTCTCTGCGAAAAGGAAAAGAAATTGCACGTCCCAGCGGCTACAAAGAAGCACTCGGTCCACCAAAAAGAGAGGCAAGAGGTCCCAAATTGCAGAAACCACCCAGAAAGCACGCAGAAGTAGCAGACGCAACTACCACCGTAGGTGGTATCGGTGGTGTAAATCCAACATTGGTACAAAACACATGGATCTAGAAAGGCGCCGTTTGGGCAACGGTAGCCTCGACTTCCCCAATCGACTTGCTTCTCAGTCCTTGAAAGACGCCCAGAATGCGGGCTATAACATGTATGAGGATCATTCTGACAATAGAAAGCGTTCACCTCTGTTGCACAAAATTTCGTATGGTACGACTATGCACATCGCATCTCTGAATGCTTGCTCCCTTTTGAAGAACACCATGCACCACCAAATCACCCAGTACATGCGAAAGAAAGATATTGACATTCTGTGCTTGCAAGAAACGAAGTCGAGGCAGACTACTTATTACATGCTGGGTTCCTATTGTTTTTACACTTTCAGTAATGCCCCGTCAAACCAACAAGAATACTTGGGAACAGGTTTTGTTTTGTCGCCCAGAGCTAGGGCTGCCCTGCTGCGAACATTGCCGGCCAGCAGCCGGACGGCGGGAATGAGTTTTAACACAGGGGCGGGGGAATTCTCCATTCTCACTGCACATGCCCCACACAATCAGCATGAAGAGGACACGAAACACACTTTTTATGACAAACTTAACCAACTAGTTGCTCGCGTGGAAACTAAAGGGCCTTTTGTCATCATGGGTGACTTTAATGCCAGGCTGCACGGTAAATTGCGTGATGAGGCTGCCCTAGGACCCCACGTCTTTGGTAAAGGTGTTTCTTTCATTGGTGGTGAAAACGACAATCGAAGCTTCTTCCTCGATTTCTGTTTCCAGAACCAGCTCCTAGTTTCCAATACCTGGTTCCAACATAGCTCTTCGAAACAGGTGACATACAAGGAGCCTGGTACAACCCGGCTCCCAACAGATTTTGCTTCATGGGACCCTTTTGACTTTGCACAACTTGATTTTTGTTTATGTCCGGAGAGATGGAAAAACATTGTTCAAGATGTGTTTTCTGACCCTTTTGGTAATATCCACAGCGACCATTTCCCCATACTGGCCAAGGTCAAAATGTCTCTTGGAGCCAGGCAAATATCTGCGCGCAAACCGTGTTGGGATTTCAAGCGGGCCACTGAAGAAACACTCATTAACATGAATACGCAAGTGGGCACACAACTCGCAAGCAAACAGCCCAATGATGAGCCAGGGCAGAAATGGAAGGAGCTGCGAGACATCTATTTAGCGGCGCTTACCGACCAAATTCCAAAACGTGTTCAGCAGCCGCGAAAAGAGTGGATTAGCCCCGCCACTCTCGACCTCATAGCTGCCCGGGGGGAGGCGCGGAAAGATGGAGATCTTGAGGCCGTGGAAAAATACAACAAGAGCATTAAGAAGTCGGCTCGCCAAGAGAATAGTCAGCTTGAGGACGCACATTGCGACCCTATCAAACGTTTGAAAACCCCTTTCCAATCTAGACTTGTTCGTTTGGAGCCCCCATTTACCCATAGTAACCTAGCGGCGATGGACTCCAATGCTGAGATCTTCGCTACGCACTTGGAACAGGTGCAATGGGCACCGCCAGCCAATGAGGGAGTTGATGACATTGATACTGATGATGTTTTAGACCACACCCCACTTGTTGAAGAAGGACCCCTGACTATGAACGAACTTGTCGATGCCATTAAACATTCCCAATGAATTTTGGAAACACCTATCTGGACCAGGCTTAGAGGCTTTGCTTCACCTTTTTCAATGCTGTTGGACTCAAGGCAATAGCCCGGACTCTTGGCGACAAGCACAGGTGGTAGGCATTTTAAAAAAAGGTTCTAGCAGTGACCCAGCGAATTACCGCCCCATCAGTCTTTTGCAGACTTGCTTGCTACAAGTTGTATGCTAGGATTCTAGCAGCCAGGTTATCGGCTGGCCTGGACCCCTTCTTGCGGGAAAATCAATATGGGTTTAGACATGGCCGTAGCACCAACGAGGCGATTTTCCTCATTAGGAGGTTGCAGGATCTTGTAGACGCCAAACGAAATCAAGCCTTGTTCCTTCTCTTCCTGGATTGGAGCAAGGCGTTTGACACCATCAAACCTGCTGCCCTTCACCTGGCTCTCCAAAGATTGAAAATCCCACCCAGGATGAGTTCTGCCATTAGGGACCTCACTGCCTCTCCAATTTTTGAAGTTGTTGTCAACGGGGAGATCTCTATGCAGAAAAAGCAGGCAAGTGGTATACGCCAAGGCTGTACCTTGTCACCATTGTTGTTTATTGCCTTGCAGGCAGTTATGTTTCACGACATCAAAAGGGAGTTCCTTGGTAAATATCCTTTGGCTATAACACCTACGGTTCCATTCTTTGATGTGGAGTTCGCTGATGATACTGTTCTTATTTCCCGAAACAGCGAGCACCTCCAACGTCTTCTTCATTTGGTTCAGAGGGAAGCGGCGAAATACAATTTGCACCTCAATCTTGGTAAATGTAAGTTGGTTCTCTACAACACGGAGACTGCCATTTTCTTCATTGATGGGTCGCAAGTTCCACTGGCTTCTTCGGTTGTGTATTTGGGTGCTCTAATTGACTCCAAGGGCAAACCGGGACATGAAGTGTCAAAGAAGATCAGAGATTCATGTCCGGTGTTTAAGACTTTGTTGCGTGTTTGGAAACACACCAGGATTAGCACCAAGCGCAAGATCGACATTTATTATGCCTGCGTGGTCAGTAAGCTGATGTATAGTCTGTGTACTCTTTGCTTAACTGAAAAGCAAATGCGGCTTCTGGATTCATTTCACATTCGATGTTTGCGTTCTATCGCCGGCATACCATCTACATGGGGTGCAACCCTCCTTGGCATAGAACGGATATCAAACGAGCAAGTCCGTTGTCAGATGAGTCTTTTAAATTTGTCGGATGAGCTCCGGCTACAACAGATGTCTCTTCTTTGCGACGGCCCCCTAACCACCCAGCCCGAGTTGTGACCTTTAACAGATTTTTACAGCCGCAAATGCTGGGAGGGCCCTTTATGAAAGGAGCTCGGAGAATTAAGTGGAATGATGTTGTTCTTCAACTCGCAACGACCATTGTTAACGACCATTACTTCCAAGGGGCAGGCGTGGAGAAATACATTTTACAAAAACTTCTTGAGGTGGCACAAAACAGAAAA